CCCTCCCCCAACCTCCCTTTCACCCACACAAAATCGGACCAAGCGTCTGAGCCTGACCCAGAGACAACCGGGCGCCAGAAAGCGTGGATGTGTGTGTGTGTATACATCACGCTCTATATATACCCAAATGATCTTACTCGCAGCGAACGTTCTCTCGTGACGCATCTCACGAGAGGAAACGGTATTTAATCGCCGGTGTTCCGCGCTAGGCTGTTACTCACTAACCTTGAGGCAGATCGATAGCGAATGCTGCTATCTGCTGGCACGTCTTCCGCGCTGAAGAGGAGGCCGAGAGAAGAAGAGAGAGAGATAGACTACCGACTGTCACTGACACCGACGCAACGACGACGACGACGACTTCCTACGTGCCGCCGCCGGTGGAATGGGAAACCGAGTCTCTCGATCTACAACGTACCGTCCACCACGTCTTTCGGAGCGCGAATGAGCGCGTTGAAGCGCGCTGCGGAACGACAGTGCGGCGCGAGAGGGCGCGGGTCACGTGGCCCGGCTACCCAATGACGCGTTCCAATGAAAGGCCGGCGCACCGATACGGAATCGCGGCGCGAGGCACGGGTCGTTTCGAACGCGAAAGTGCGCCGCTGCGTACTCGCACGTTTTACGAAGTGAAAAAACGCGAAGTTCATATCGATCGCCGGGTCTTGATTGCGAAAAGACGAGAGATCGCATCTGTGAGAACTGTCCGTATGTGTGGCGACGCTCCTAAAACTGAAAGCTAATCGCAGATCGACGGTCCTCCATCTTTTTTTATTATTCGAACTTGAAATTTGAACTGATGGTGTAGGTTAATTTGCCACACCTAATTTCGGTGATGTAAATTGCGAACGTGTAACTTTCGCTGGCGGTGTGAAACGGTTCGTTTCTTATTCAGATCGCGAAATATTACGTTCTTCGAATATCATGCAAGGTTTATCGACCATAACGCATGCGCAGCTCTGCCTCGTTACAACGAATTTAACCTCCTAAACTTACTGCGTTTACATGTCTCCTCGTACCGCCCGAAGAAGGTACAAGTTAGCTCCGGTCCGCTTACGTGACCCGGAGTGACGTGAAATGACATTTCCCTAGTCGAAATGAGTGTCTCGAGAGCGCCATGATGATTATTCCGCCCATTACTGCTGCGTCCGGCGATTCTGCGAATTCGCGGCTAAATTAACGAGCCGAAAGTCGCGACACGACAACGTCATAAAGTCGGCGTAAAATCGATACGACCTCGCGTCGGCACGCAACGTGCGCTGCATCGTTATTGCCGTGACGTCTCAAGGTGTAAGGACGCGAGAGTGGGAAAAAGAACAACACGAATCACTCACCGCCGCTGATGATTGATCCGTACCAGTCTGTCACGGCACGTTGAAAATCCTCGAAAGCCTCTCGGGCACCTGAAGATCTTCTCCTCGACGAGAACGAATGACAGTCACAGTTGACGATGACGGCTACGACAGCTCCTTTGCGGCAAAGCGCAACTCGTTGCACTGACAACCGGAAGTTGCCCGCGAGTATCGCGGAAGCGCTACCGTGACTCGAAATGTAACCATGGAGACGCGTATCGGTTCAATTGGCGGGTAAAACAAAATGGCGGAAATGTGAAAAATGTTGTTTCGACACAGTAAACAAACTGTACAAGTTACAATGATATTTGCATTTTATATAATTGCTTAGTTATTATTACCCTTTAAAGTATAATTTTTAATTATTGTATCAAAAATCCCTCTCGGAAATATTTTAAGAGAGAAAGTATATTGATCGCATATATATACGTATGTATAATCGTTTAGTATCAACATTCATTTTTGTAGTTAGGACCTTAGCAGAATGGCTGACTTGAATTTTAACACATTGTCCTCAATATTTGTTTACATTATTATTCTTTTACTTTTTTCCTATACAGCGGTCATGAATCACAACAGCTGCAGATTCCAGACACAGGAGAGTCATTATGCATTACTTAAGATAATAAAGACTTAAAGTGTAAAACGTTATTTTGAACTGATAAGTCAAGCATTTCTCTAAGGCCTACGATACAATAAATAAAACCGTGTCTATCTCTTTTCTTCCTTATCTTACCAATGTACTACATATATACTACTACAATACATTTTTCTCGTTAAAACAAAAAAAAAAAGAGTTAACAATCTACATAGCTAACAGCAATACATATTCAAAAACATATTTAAAGTACATTACAAAATATGTTTAAAAATAGTTCCCGTAATGCGCATTTTGTAACAAGATATAGCTTAAGTCGGCAAAAATGTAGTTATCCCAAAAATATACATAAATACATAGAATACTTATAGAAAAATTATCGCAATATGACGAATAATATATAAATGTATAATATAATTATTGTAAGTGTATAATAACGTAGCAAAATGAACAATATTAAAACATGATGCGTATGAGTTACCTAATCTACCTCCACCACCATCTCCGTGATGGACCCGAAAAATAGCTTTAACGTACATCAATGAAAGGTATAAATTCGATGAATGTATTGAATTACATGCTATAATATGATCTACAAATAACCTGTCGAATCGATCGATATTTATAAATTGGTTTATAACTGGCTGAAATAGTTTCCCTAGTTTATCTTTCTCGCATTTCGGTAAACCGATAAAAAAGTGAATTGTTACATGATAGTGACTTACATTTTTTCCCCTAATTCTTTTTTGTCCCGTTAGATATTTCTACAACGTGAAGTATGACATCATCTACTGTTTTCGTCGTCAAGAGAGATTTCACGGTGTCGTCCTCGATGACTACAGTGAACAGAAGCTTGACATTTTCTCGCAGCCTCTCAGTGAAGATCGTACAAGATTCGGAAGTTACTGGGTCGTGTCCACATCTTCTGATTACGGCTTCGAGGACGTCTTGTATTGGTGCTTCCGGCCAACCAAATAGCTAGTGACATCACACAATGAAATCAGTGGGCCGGATGACTTAGAGTGACTTTCACCAATTCCGGTTAAAATTAACCGACAGTTAAGCGACGCTTAAACAACTAATCGCACTGATCAGTACTGCTAATTGGCTAATACGATTGGTCGTTTAAGCATCGATTAATCGTCGGTTAACTTAAGTTGGTGAAAATCACCCTTATAATTAAATCAGAACGCATTGTTAAGGTAACAATAAGGTGAGATCAAACAATATCTGTTGATTTTTACTTGTAGCGTTTCCTCGTCGATAAGTATCCTCAGGAGATCTATAATGGCCTTCAGCAGCTCATCGATGGACAGTGTCCTAGATTCGCCGGTTTTCGTTTTGGCCGCGGCAATCGTCGCAATATTATACAATTGCGTCTGCAGATGCTTCTTCTCAACTTCGTTCATAACGTCCTCCAACAATTCCCGATGTTTCGCCCGAATGTGTCTCATTAAGCAGTCCTGCCGGATGAACACTCTGTTGCACTCGACGCATGACTGGGGCGGCTCGCGCCTGTGGGTATTGAGGTGAGCCTGCAGAGAAGACTTCGCCGAGAAAGCTTTCGAACATTTGTCACACTTGAACGCTGAAACAAAATTTGCACATTCGCATGACGATGTGATGCAATAAACAATGTGTTTTTTTCTCACGCAATATCGCCTAAGATCCCTTACGTTTAACTCCAGTGTGCAGTAGTGAGTGTTTCACTAGGTCCTCCCTGCGCGTGAAACCCTTGTCGCAAATTTTACACATGAACGGGATCGCTCCCTCATGCACGAATTTTTTGTGGATATTCAAGCGTGCTTTTCGGTTGAACGCTTTACCGCACACTTCGCAATAAAAGCCATTCTCGCCGGTATGGTGAAATATGTGCGCTCTTAATTGAGATGCCTGTATGAAGGACTTGCCACAGTACTGACAGGTATGCGGTTTCTCGCCGGTGTGGGTACGCTGATGGCGATTTAACGTCTCGCGAGCGGCGAACTTTCTCTGACACTGAAAGCGAATTTTACCTGTTGGTGCTCGTATACGAAAGTGTGCATGTTGACAATGATCGAAACTTACAGCGGTATCTTACCCATCCACGACGTTAGCTTGCAATAGAATAACGCGATTAGCCGAAAAGCGGCACATTATTAATTCTACACTAGGGGCCATGGCACATGGGAAAACGTAAGCAGTAAGAAAATCGACCAATTACAGTCAATTGTTTTTCCAATCATAAAGAGAATAATCAATTTTGATTGGTCAATTTTCTTACGTTTGCCATGGTTCTTGCTCCTCGCTCAAGCAAAACACAAAACGACGTAGAACCGAAGTAGGATATATACTTACATATTTACATTCAAACGGTTTCTCTCCGGTGTGTACACGTCGGTGCTTCTTCAACGCTAACGCCGACAGGAATGTTTTCGGACACAAGTCGCACTGTACCGGCCGTTCACCGGTGTGCATGCGCTCGTGTATCAGCAATTGTTGACTCGTGAAGAACGCCTTCGGGCAATACTTACATAACTTCTTCTGCCGCTGCGGGGTTCCCGCGTGAGTGCGTAGATGTTCTCGCAAGTTATCCTTGCGCGTGAAATCCTTCTTGCAAACCTGTAATATATTGTAGTATATTATGCATCGTATCATAATCTCGAGAATGTTCCAGTCCTGTCGATGTAGATTAAACTCACTTGACAACTAAATGTATTAAGTATATTGCCGTGACAACCGGACTGCATTATGTGTCGATTTAAGTGATAGCTGCGAGAAAAATAAGTGTCACAAGGCTCACATCTGAAAAAATATGTGAAATAAAAATCAGCAATGTGCGAATCAGCACGACTATGTGATGATCCTTCCGGTTGACTACGTCGAATGTCAAGGATATTAATTTTATAGATTTTATATAACATACTTGAAAATTTTACGATCACCATGTGTTGTGTAGCGATGTTTATTCAGCTCTTTCTTATCACGAAAAGAAGAGCCACATATGTTGCATGTGCAAGAGTCACACTTCCAGTGAATAACTATAATGTGCCTGTCTAAGGATGCTTTCTTCTTGAAACGAAGCTCGCAGTGGGAACATCTGAAGTCACCCCCACTGTGTGCAGTCTTCAAATCCTCTGCGCAACAGTGACACTGTGTGTCTGGCACCGGCTTGATCACAGGTTTGTTATTATTTTTTTGTCTATTGGTGTCTAAATCTATAAGAAATATAATCACACATGTAGAATCTTTGGCGGTGAAATTAAGTAGATGTTACATTGGCCATTATACATACCCTCCACAATTAAATCTGGGAGGATATATTTATCTTCTTCATCCTCATTCTCGTTCTCTTCATCCGAATCGTAGTTCGCCAAATTATTCAATTCCAGAATATTGGTCGAATCATCTTCCTCTCTGCACATGTCTAAATGTTCTTTCAACATCTGTCATAAAATTAAACAATGAAACAATTTATAAGATTATTTATTTGTGTTATATAGGAATTATTTACATAAGAAAAACAAAGAATGTGTATATAAAATATAAGTAAAACAGATAAAGCCGACTTACATCTTCAGATTGGAAGACCCGGTGACATGTCACACATTCATAATCAGTTATAATTGAAATCTGACCATTTTCAGAAATAACTATTAACAAAATAAAACAGACGTTAATTAACTAAAACAAAAGAAAAATAAGAGAAAAATATTGATAAAGTAAAGCTCAAAAATAGTACAATATGACAAATCTTTTGCAGCTATGCATCACACAAATATATACATGTACAAGGTACATTCAACATTGAAAAAATGATAGTATTATGAAAAATTAATTCAAAATCCAAATAATACTCAGAAATGGTTTCTGAAATATCATGCATTTGAATATATATAAAGTATACTTCTCATATCATCTGCATTAGCCACTACTACAGCTTCACTCTGTGTAACATTTGCATCTGCAAGATGTTTAAATTATAATCTTATTGCTTTCTTATTAATATTATATATGTACAATATAACAAAACAATGAAATTACCAAATAATATTTCTGCAGTTTCATCTTTGATCAGTATCTCGGGATCATCCAGATGTATGATCTCTATAAGAAGATTCATTATATTATTTGTACAAGAAGAAATTCTTCATAAACATGCACATAAAATTTAGACTGAAGTATCTATGATATATCAATATAGAAAAATAAGTGAGGATACAAATATATAACATATAGATTACACATAGAAGAAGACATATTTTAGGAATTTCGTAATGTTTATATACTCGGCAAGCAACTCAAAGAGAACCAATTTTATGGTCGGTCATACGTAATCTATGCTACCGACGATCTCGTCAAGGTGCACAACTCCATACATGTGTTACACAAGCGAACAAACTCAATTGCACTCACTTATCTCCTCCAGCGTTTCTGTCATTGTGTCTCAGAAGCGATTATGACTTCGTGATAATAATGTCCTCTCCTCGCTGTCCCTTTTCCGACCACCAGGAGGGACCTCTCCTCGGCGAGCCAGATTCGTGTATGCTCACCGACTTTGCGTGATCTCCGACTCACTTACTTGTTGCTTCCGTTCCAGTTTACGGAAGCCCGTGAGAATCGGTAAGCATTCGATGATGCGTGCTACTTCTCGCCCTATCGATCGTAGCGATGAAAAACGAGCTTCGGAAATCTTTCTAGCACAATCTTCAGAGGAAGCACCCGTAGTACACTTGCCCCTGAAGAGACAGGCCCTTTCAGTCTTGACGCCGCGGAAAATGGCCTATGTCAAGGGGCGCGTTGTCTCTTCCACGCGTCTACCGTTCTCGTCGCTCGCTTTCTCCTCTTAGTTAGGGAATTTCCGAGATACCACAACCCAGTTATATATACACTCGCACGGTTTGCACGCTTTTCTCGATGCAGTTCGGAACGCAGCCGATGGTCCAATGAGAGGACCGAACTCCTAGGAATTAATCAAAAACAAGTTCTCTCATTGGACCGTCGACTGAGTCCCAAACCGCATCGATAAAAGTGTTCAAAACATTTCGGAATCAACTGTACTTATATCTAGGATAATGCACCTTCAAAAACATTTGTGGCGCCTGCACTTACACTTTTTGCACTTAACGTGAAACGGATATATATACACGAGACTCGAGAGAAAGAGAAAAAGATTCCGCGAGGATATATATTGCGATTAAAAAGGAACGGATGTAACATCACGAAACAATGATGTCGTGTGTTCTCGTGGATATATGAAATACGACGAATACACTCAAAACAGAAGCCAAACGGAAGAAACTTTTCGTAATGATGCTTACAATGGCATGATCCGCTGTGTATCGCTTGAAACCTGCTCGCATGCGCAGACTTACGACTGCGACAGGAGAGACTGTGAAAGCAGTTATACACGCGCAAGACGATCCAAACCTCATCTTCCGACTCGCAACAAATCGCTCGTGGTGCACGATGAATCGTTCGTAGAAGATAGAAGGTATGAACTACGCGCGCGTCATGTATTCTCTCACCGGAGCTCCGATTCCTACCTCGATTCTGTTTGATTTCTTCGCTGCATCTCAAGTTGTACCTGAAGTTAGGCGGAAGCTTGATTTTCCTCCTCTCTGTCGACAATAAACCAACTTCAGAGTTAGGTGACATAATACACATATAGCGCCAAATATGACTTCTAGTTAAGCTGGAAGAAAGACTGCAACACTCTTTTCGACGAATTTCACAGTCCAACGGGAGAATTTTCTTAACAATTTTCAGAAGATAAATTTTCCCGTTGGTTGCCGAACGTGTAGAATTCATCTCGAGATAAAAGCGTTGCGACTTTTCTCTCATTAATTGTGTGGATGGATCACGCTTGGGTATATTCGTATACACCCAATATTTTACATCTTTTGGAAATGTTTAACCTTCCGCATTCTTTGATCATTTATTTTCTACGGTTCTCTGGTGAGACATTCAGTTGTTAAAGTATGTCGAATACAATGATCTCGTTCCGTGATACTTGAGCGTGTATGTGTGTCGCATGTGGCATGTAGGCATGAATGTATGATATGCGCGAGCTGTCAATCCTATCGCTGTCGGATGTTGTTTCGAAGGTTCCTTATTTGACCGATGGAGTTGCGAACAAGAGTCATCCCGAGAGAAGAACGGGGATCTTTCCGCGAACGTGCCGTTCGATATTGTCCGCGTGAAGGAAACGTTACGCCATGACGCGCATTTCACCGCACAGCTGTCACTCGTAAACAACGTAAACAACGTAAACAGAACGGTGCCAGGTATTCATACGAACACTTTGTACTTTTTGTTAAAAAAAGAATCTCGTTAGAAAAGCCTCTAGCCATAAGACTCTTACTAACATTACATCGTGCTAATCAAGCCTACGTTCCATCATCTGTTCTTTGAGGTTATAGCCCTGCTCGCGATATACGGGGTGTCCTGGAAACCCGATTTGGATTTTTACATTCAGATTACATTTCATATAATTACACATTCGGAATGGAAAAATGATATTTTGGTGACTTCCAATTTAGATTATATCAATTTCAACTGCTGACTCTAGTGGTAAGTTCTATAACGAATTCTCAATTGATTGAAAGAAATTTTTTTTTACAAAATATACTATAAATATAAATGATTTTCAAAAATATTTATTAGATATCGTCGACGCTTTCATTGGCTTGGAAGATGAATCGTTTTACAGATTAGAAAAATCTTGCATATCTTATAGATAAGAATTGGGTATGCGATAAAGCAGGTATATTTTTACAGAGTTGCCTTCCGTCACACTGAATTAAAATGTCATTTGAAAGTCTAGGAAAACTTAACCATATAAATATGAAAACTTTCTTTTTCTCCACGATCCTTTTCCAACATTTATTCTGTTTTCTGGAGCCCTTCAGTGCAGATGTACAGATGATTTTCCATCGAGCTCGATTTTGCTGACGAGCGATCGCCAATTAAACTGGATATTTTTGTCGTGATGCAGGACTCAGCGCATACATAGATAAGCAGCTCGATCGTTCCTGAAGCCAAGATGTCTGTAACAGAGGAGAGAATCCAGGAGTTGAATCAGCAATTCTTGGACTTCATGAGCAAGCCGGAGAACATCGAAACAGCCACGAAAGAGATTTACGAGGATCTGTTGGACGAAGTTCTGATGGGTTTCGTTTTCGACGTTCATCGTACCACGAAGACCGGTAGTTCCGACGTCGAGGAGGGCATCCCCGATGACGAATCCTACGCCATTGTCGGTAAGTGAAACCATAATGACTCCATTTTTTAGATTCGTTGAAACCTGCTTATCATAAATCATATATTTATGATATTATTTTTCATCATTCTCTATTTAATCGTTATTTATAATACAATATTAATCATTTATATTTGGAAGAAAGGAGGAGAGAATTAGTAACGAAGAAATGTTAATACGAAGAACATTCTCGAGGAGATCCCGATGATCGATATGTGTCCACGTATACATGTTTCCTTTCAGACACGCCCGGTCTGGACGTGTTCGGCCAGCATCCCGTGAAGAAGTCGCAGGAGTGCATCTGCCCGAACTGCGACCGCAGCGTGGCGGCATGCCGGTTCGCAACACACCTAGAAAAATGCATGGGCATGGGTAGAAACAGCTCGCGCATCGCATCGCGACGCATCGCCAACAACTCCAAGGACCTGAGCACTTACGGCGGCGTGATAAGCGACGACGACGACGACGTCGACTGGAGTCTGACCAACGACAACAAGCGCCGACGTCCGCGCAAAGACCGCAACGGCATGAACAAGCGTGCCAAACAGCAGAAGCAGCAGCAACAAGCCGGCGGCGGCGCGCAGCAGAGGAACGGCGAGGCGATGAGCGAGCACGCGCACAGCAGTAACGAGAACTCACCGTCCAATTACGAGAACATGTCGCTGGTGGACAAGCGGGCGCTGCTCACGCAGATCTGCGGCGTCGTGTCCGAGCACACGAAGAAGCTGTGCACCCGCTCGATGCGCTGTCCGCAGCACACCGACGACCAGCGCAAAGAAATGCGCGCGAATTTAGAGTCCGGCAGCCAGCAAGACAATCTCCACGTGGACGTAGACACGTACGAAGAAGCTGACGGACAGAATCTGCGGGAGGCTTTGGCGAGATGGGACAGGGAGGGCTCCAGCCACTCCAGCCCGGCCGATTCTGCATCCACCACGTCGACTTCGTCGATCAGTCGGAAGCGGGAGACCAAGTCGAAGGGCAAGGGCAAGGGTTCGAAGCGTGATCGCGGTTCCCCGATCTCTCAGGGTGACTGAGGCGGTACCGGCCACATCTCACGGCGGCAGGGAAATGTACGATAATGTTCCTAAGCGCTGTATATAAAGCTAAGAATTTGCTGTATATAAGGCTAAAATGTAAAAAAAAAAAAGAAACGAACGGGACGAAACGAAGTCTGTGAAAGTGAAACCGGTGGCAGGGTTTCGTCTTTCATGTCGTAATCCGTGGATAATTACGCGAATTAATATGATAAGGAAATAAAGTATAGAAATGAGCTAGAGTTGTGTAACATACTTAGTTCTAAGACTTTCCCACGACGTTCTTTTGTAATTTTATTTTTAAGGAAATAATAGTCATAAATTTAAGTAATAAATACCAAGTATTTATTGAATATCCTTGACCGGGAGTTATGCCAAATCCTTTAAACCTTAAATGTTAACCCCTAAGAAACGTATAAAACGTTCTTACACTTTGAGAAAATTATTAACATTTTAATATATATATATATATATATGTATATGTGTTTTATTAATACGTAAGATTACCTTTTCGGTTTTCTTACCAGCTTCTTCACAGGTTCCAAATCCAAGTTCAAATTGGACGGGTGTTAACTGTATTCTACACTTATTGCATTAATTTCCGCTAAAAAGAACACTTTTGGTGCATAAGATAATGCTCGATCCTGATTGGCTGATTCGTTTAATGTTTAAAGTCAATAGCACACTGCGCTGCTTCTCATAAGAGCGAAATAAACTTGAAACGCACCACATATCGCATACAAACGTAGCTGCTCTCCGCGTTGTGTTCGAAGCAATCAAAAGTGCGAAAGTATTTTATATATTTTAGACGTTTTGCACAACACAGAGTCAAAATGTTGCATATGGAGATCATGGGAGGATTTATGAGATGCATATTTGCGGGTGAAACACCAGGAGTAGCGCGCGAACTATGGGAACGAATCGAGGAAGCAGTGGTAAATAAACGACGATGACATCTAACCTCAAATATTTACTGCTAAAATCTGTTTTAATTTTATTTCATATTATTTCAGCAAAATCATTGATGATTACATTAAAACTTTGTACCTAGCATTATAGTATATCAGTGTTTTTATAGTTTTTTAATTCAAAAAAATTAATTGTATATATATCTGACATATGCTTACTATTTCAATATTTATGTCACCAATGATTAATAGTTATAAACAAATGTGTCAATAGTGATTAGACATTTAATAGGTCAATTTTCGTTATTCAGGGGATTAAGCGGGATGAATATTACACCGTATACAATGGTCGACTTATGCATGAAGATGATATCTGTCATGGCTATATGACTATTGTTCCAAGGACATTGGGTGGCAAGGGTGGCTTTGGTTCTATGTTACGTGCGATAGGTGCACAGATAGAGAAGACCACGAACCGTGAGGCTTGCAGAGACCTGAGCGGCCGTAGATTACGTGATATAAACGAAGAGAAGAGGCTAAAGGCTTGGATTGAGAAACAAGCTAAGAGGAAGGAAGAAATAGCAGAACGTAAGAAGAAGAAACTGGAGAAACTATGCGCTGAACCAAGACACGAGTTTAAAGACCGGCGTTATGAGCAGGAAAGATCAGAGCTGACAGAAAGAGTTGGAGACGCAGTGGAAGAAGGCTTCAAAGCTGCTGTTACATCTGGTGTAAAGAGAAAATTGAAAGAGGATGATAAACCAAACAAACGCAAAACTATGTTGGATCTAGATATCGATTCTGATGAATTGGACTCTTCTGACGACAGTGATAGCGATAACATGTCATCCACAAAAGAAAACAAAACAGCGCAACAAGTATCAAACGACAGTGGACATTCTAGCGATGAAAATAGCAAGGTCGATGAAAGCACAACGATAGAAAGCGAACATTCCACAATATCAACTGATAATCACGTGAACAAGAAAGTTCTATCTACAGAACCAACAGATACAAAATGTATCGACGAATCTGTTGAAAATTCAGAAGAAAAATCTGCAGAATCCGGAGTAGAAACGATTACATATAAATAGGACAGGTCGAATAAATCAAGTCGCATTAGGATAGATATGGATTAGGTGTAAGATGGAATTATCTTCCTTTTTATATTAGTTTCAACACGTAATACTGTAGGTACATTTTATGATACTTCATCCAGTTTTAGAATTCATTAATTTGTGGGTTAGTAGTGGGTTTTATAACAGGCATTCTATTTGGAATGTCTGGTTTTCATAATAATATTCTAGAAATAATTTAACAATGTAAACATGAAACTATGAATACATATTTTTCTCTTTTATACAGATTGGAATATCATAAAATAAATTATGTTGAATAAGATGATGTTTAAATTGTTCTCTAAAAAATACTCAATTCTACCTGCCAGTGGTTTTTGGTAAATTCCAAGCGTTCAGTTCCAGATTGAGCTTTATTCCGATTGCAAATAAAAACGTCGACATGACGATTGACCATAAGAAATTATCTGCACGCAATCGTTTAAACACGTGCTCCTGTGTCCAATGATAAAGATCCGCGATGCACTTCGTGCTGATAAAAATGAAATTGTCATGTCCTTCTCGGTGAGCTTTTAACTGTGTCTTGTCTGCAACATTTATCAAGAATTGGTTACAAATTAATGGTGCTAATAAGTTTACTAGCGTTGTTAAATATGCGGTATACTTACATCTTACAAGATCGCGTGGGCAAATATAGAAATAAGGTTGACAACAGGTTTTGCAAAATCGGAGCTGGAAGGTCGACGATATTGTTTTATACGATTTATTTCGCAATCTCGCGCTTTATATGTTGCATTTCGTTTGATATTTACCCTGTTTGCGATAGACATGTCGCCATTTTTAAATTTCGAATAAACTCGAGTTTTGTATAAACTTGACAATGACAACGACATAAGAGTCCTATCCTCGAAAACCATTTTGAAAATTCCAACTATCACCCCTTAACATTTTGAATTGCTATCCGTTGACACTTCATTTGACAGCAAATTCGTCTGACAGACGTTTATATTTTGTTCAATTCCAAAAGATATGATGCAGTAAAAAAAAATTGTTAAAAGAAATATTAGTAGAATATAAAATGTCACTCCGAGGGCAAATCTTGTGGGAGATCAATTTTCAAGCAAAAAATAACCAAAATCATTTTGTATTTTGCGAGAGGAGAATCAACGCAATGTAATTCTTCGCGGAAGTACGGTCGTCTTACTTCGGTCGCTTATACGTTGAGCGATGGATAGTTAATATCATAAGCTGGAGTCATAGCTGAACGAATTATAAAGTGAGATCAACCGGGCTATAATGCGCGTTTTGATACGGTAGAGATAAGGTAGAGCGGCGCATGGAAGATTAGTAAAATAAATGTTAGCGGTCGGGACGTAGTCCGAATGTTGCACCTGACAAGAGACCAGGTCTCCAGTATAGAATTTGCGCATAATGTTGCTGCAGCTTACGGTGAGGATATCCTGCGATTATAAAAATATCACGATAGCGTTTTATAAAATTAATATTGATCATAGATGGCACTGATCGGAACAATAAGTTTGTCTTTCAGTTTTCAGACAGAATGCGATGTCTATTGTGTCGTTTTATATTTTTGTGCTATATTTCCATAGCGCTTTCTACGAGTAAGTCCTCTACTTTTGCTTCGACCAATTTAAGAATTGAATCTCTTCATAAAAATCGGGACACTTGAAAAATTCGGTTAGATTTTTGGTCGTCTTCAACAGTAAGCCGGCCGCTTTCTACATTAAAAATAAAGGAATGGTGTCGAAACTTGTGCATATTCGTCATAGGCAACGATAGTGATTATTTAGTTAATGAATAACTTATTTCCATTGAATGCGACAAAGTCAGAATCTGCCTGAAAAATCAAACTGAACGTTTTGACTGACCCGATATTTGAAATATTTAAAATATAATCTCATCACGCTAAGCAAAGCTTATTCGTTAGAATTTTGATAAAGATTAACATTAGAGAAATCTATGGGAAAACAAATACTGTAGCAGATTTAATGATCCGTACAGTCGATGTGACGAAACATCCCAAATGGATGCTGCTGGAGCACAGAAAGTGTGGAAATTCCAACAGCGTTCGTATTATCGGCGGCAAGAATGCGACTCTGGGCGCATATCCTTGGATCGCGAGAATTGGTTACAGCAACCCTAGTGAGGGCGACGAATTAACCTATAGATGCGGTGGCAGCTTAATCAATCAACTATACGTAGTCACGGCCGCCCATTGCGTAACGAATCTGCCCGAAGGGTATTTCAACTTTATCGCCAAAGAGAGAGAGAGAGAGATAGAGAAAATTCCTTCTCAATACACATCATCGATCGTTCATTGAATATTCATAACATTAACCTTCGCCGAGTGAAAAAATCTTTTTCGGTTATAGAGGCCTAAAGGAACGCGAATGATTATATTATTGATTTTTTTTTTTTTAATATAATCATTACATACAAAGCTATAATTATATTTTTTTACACTCAAAGATTAATTTTCATTTGTCTCTTAGATTACCCTACATAAGAGGCATAACAATTGTTACGATTAACTTTGTAAACTATGTTTATTTATTCTTGTCTTTATAAGCTTCAATATAATGTTTAGTTGTTATATGTCAGGGAGTTCTAGCAGTATCATTTTTCAGGTACAGTAAACGTTAAAGTGCGTCCTGATATTCATTATCGGTACTGGCAGTGGGCGTGCTTTAGCGTTTATTGTATTTGAAAAACGGTATTGCTAAAACTCCTTATTATAATGAGACTCCTCTAAGTTTAAAGATCGGTGGAATTCGTTTGGGTGAGCACAACACCTTGACAGATCCCGACTGTGAGAATGGCTATTGCGCGGAATCGGTGCAAGATTCGCCGCCGGAATCGATAATCGTCCACGAGAATTACGATACACCGCTGTATAAGAACGACATAGCTATTATACGGCTGAAGAAACCGGTAACTTATAATGGTGAGTGTTGATTTGCTCGCAAGAAATGTTCATCGACCAGTCTTAATTATCGGTAAAAAATGTGTAACACGTACGACTTCTCCGATTGAGTCCCCGGTGATCTTTGGTCTGCTGAAGTAGATCGAATGAAATCCCCCGCGTATTATTTCGAGAAACAGATTAGAAGTTTTCTTTCATTTGTGCGGTTACGATCTACGTCAGTTGTCAATTTCCCGAAAGTAAATTGATTTTCTGCTGTAACACGCAGATCATGTGAGACCGATATGCATGGTAAGCGGTCAACTCTTGACGAAGGATTTTGTCGGCCAGGTTGCGGAAGTCGCTGGTTGGGGGATATACGATATCAGTAAGACACTTCCGCGGATGTATCTGTGTATTACTACCAAGATATATTTCCCGTTCAAATACCACATTCGTTTCCTCGTTATTCCACTTCCTGTGAAAACGGTGCAAAATGTTATCTGTTTGAAATTACTAACGGATATCAACAAGGTCGGTCTTTATTAAATCGCGATGTACAACGAGTTAAATTTCCATCAGGAGCAGTTTAGCGTTTCGTTAACGCTTCTTTTCCGTGCGATTATCTTCTCTCTAAGCTTCTTGGAATGGAAACTCACTCGAATAATAGAGTGACCAACAAATCAATTCGAATGACTTTTCACTTTTATATAGAGTATATTCTCCACTCTGAATTGTCGAGAGAATATTTTCACTCGGAATTGAAGAATGAACCTAATGTACTCCACCGTCACAGAAACATATTCGCTTCGATAGATCGAAACATTCGCTGATATGGAATCAGAATTCATTTTAAGCTTGAGTGAAACATTCACTCTTGCACTTTTGAGTGCAGTATTTTCATTTACGCTTCGAGCCTAAAATTCCAATTCCTTTGTTGCTCGTCCCTTTCCGCCATCCCGTAATAAAAATTTGCTGTTTGAGTGAGAAATGAATTCGTTATCAACAGACGATCCAAAGCCCAGCACGATTTTGCAGACGGTCAAACTGCCGATCGTTGACACTAACAGATGTCAAATATCCTTCAAGAGTTACACGAACATCGACAACAGGCAAATGTGCGTGGGTGGTGTCTTGGGCGAGGACTCTTGCGGTGGCGATAGTGGTGGCCCTCTCATGAAAGTAGAGAGCTCGGATGGACCTCCAAGGTACTATTTTATCGGCATCGTCTCCTTCGGCGCGAAGAACTGTGGCGGTTCCTTGACGCCTGCGGTTTACAGCAAGATTGCCGAGTACGTCACGTGGATTCTGGACCACATCTCTGCGTGAATAGATAGATAGATAACTGCGTTTATTTACATCCTGGGACTAAGAACGTTACATAGAAAGAAGATGCGGTGAGAATTACTTAATAAATTGAGCGAAGGGAAAATGAAAAAAATTAAAAAAATACAAGTGAAGGAAAAAAATAAAAATGAAAATAAAGATAGGAAAAGAGATGCCGGAAACCGAGTCGCTCTAGTTACACTGGAAACAAGATCATAGTCTGTTGAGTGAAGTATTTACGTGTCTCGATGAGATTTCGATAGAACAGATTTCGATAGATAGAAGTTATTTCTATTCGAGACATTAATGTTGACGATCTTAACACATTGTCAAGCGCACAAATTGCGCTTCGCCACATAGAAACAAAACAATTCCATTAATGTAAGATGAAAACTCGGTTATACGAATAAAAAGATTTCTGTTGGAGGTTTTTGCTCGTTCAATTGTTCTCGGTCGTCTCAACCTAATTTTAATGCAGCTGATCGTTCACACGGATGTTTTCAGCTGCGGTAACAAAGATATCATTTCTAGCCATCGAGTTTTCACCTGGTTCGTATTCAGTTGCATGAGTTGATATTTTTTCCGTGCAGGCTTTGTGTGAAAATTATATTTTTCGAAAACGGTACACAGTAACACATCGACCTGAATTTTTACTATTTTTGCAGAATAGGGAGTCAACATAAGATATATGCAATGAAGAAGAAAAATGCAAATAATAATTTTTCTTCAGAATCATTAAAAGTTTAGCTTGATCGGTCGACCAACAAATATCGAAAAAGGGGTAGTTATATCTCCACGGTTGGCAATATATTAACTTTGTTAGAAGCATGTTTCGCGCGAGTACTTCAGACATTCGTAAATTACCGAAGTTCTACAATGATGCGTCATGTAGACATACGACGGACAGATGTAGTTTAGTCTTTGAACTGTAGCAATAATTAATCAGCAGGATCAATCACAAAAATAAAGATCTTTGGAAAAAAAAAAATGTAACTTTCATAGCCGCCGTATGCGACGCGTACAAATCGAAGTCGATCATAGGATTTTCCCCGTTCACCTGAGGAAATAATTATTCCGCAGCCGTGATCAACCATCTGCTTCAGCAGGAATTGCGTGGTCCTTCGCGAGGATTCCCCACGTGTAACGACGAAGAGCCGCGTTCGCAGTTGTTCGGTCTACTCGCGGAAGCAATTAATTCAGTCGAGCACGTGGGAATTAATTACACGTTCAATCTCATTTCACTGAAATTCTATCCGAATTGAACTAGATCCGTTGAAATTCATTCGCAGCTATTTCCTCGTGGAAACGTGAGACCGCAATTCCAGTTCTATCCGTCGGATTCGTCATATACAATATATTACTCGGGGAAGTCAGGGTGTTCCCAATTCACTTCGCTGTATGCGCATTGCGTGGAGCACGAATGCGCGATATCATCGAGTTTGTTTCTTTACTCGATTGAAGCCTGTCGATTGAATCATTTTCCGCGGAAGCGCGTCACCGATCGCTCGCTCTCTCGTGTAATTGTAACGAGATCGAATACGATATAATGGAATTAGTATACCGAGAAACGAGATAATCATGGTGACTAAAGCTGCGAAGGACTCGCGATATGTACATATTCTTTTGTGTTTACTTTTTCCAACAGTATCTTCCATACGTAACACATACGCGCTAATGCTCTTCGCGTATCCACAGAGACGCACTCTGTATGATGAAGCACACTAGCAGGGAATAAATCACATGTAAACTTAATTACATTACTATGTATGCTGTGACTGTGGTTTCTAAAACGCGCGGACAACATGTAACTACTACGAGCGAATCCTCACGCGCGGACGCGCGTTTGAAAAAGGCGCGATGGACATCTTCAACGACAATAGTAACATTACATCAATATTATAATTTCCCATTTAACAATATAAGTAATATAACATATGTATGTAATAGTTACACACACACACATATAATTGCTGAATGAAAAATTATAATATATAAATATATAAATTGATAAATTGATATAACGTTAGTTGACGTTTATTAGGTATGATAAAGAGTGCGATCATTTGATTTTTCTTTCTCATTTTCGATAATGGAATCGATGTGACGTCAAGACATTTTCCACGTATTCGCAATCTGTTATTAACACCATGACAATGTGCGTGCGATCCTCAGGGACAGGTTCTCTAAACTCTATCGTCGCGGAAGGAAGGAGGAAAACTCGGCGACAAGAACGTGCCAGGCGTATTGCGATTATTCGGGACCCCAGAGTTTCCGTGTGTCTCGAGAATTATTTGACGTCAGATTCAACGACGACAGATTGACAAAAAATTAATATACGTATATGCAATAATTGATGTGATTAGTATGGACAGAAAAAGTTACACGAGATTTACGTTAGAGCGTAAAGAATTGCACTAGCCGAGGGAAGAACAATGCCGATCTGTCCTCGTGTGGATTTATGAGTTTTAACCAACTATGCTAAGTCTAAACACGGCGTTGAAGCGTGTTCCGCATCAGAAGCAGAAAAGAGAAAAACGAAAAAGATCGCCGCTGGCGAATGAACCTGGAATGAACATGCCGAAAAACTCACCGGGGAAATCCCGATGGGCTGAAAATTGTAAGGGTGTAGCGTCGACTCGGCACATGTACAAATACCAATGATATTAATCACGCCCTCGAATATATCTTTCACTTGTTGTGCTGCGATACACGAGGAAATCAATGTCTGAAAATAAAAATGCTATTAAGTTATCGAATGTTATTATAATGCGATATTCAGTCATTAGAGAAGAAAAAAAATGAGCTCACGCCATAATCTTTTTACCTCTTTTTGCGAAATATATGATCCTGAGGATAAGATTTTTCCTGGTAATCATTTCTCAGTCAGTCCGTCCCTGCTAATTAGCCAGACGAAGCTCGCGGCAATGGTGGGGACAGTTGTTGACCCTGGTATTGGTCACTCTATCATGGACACCACTGTCAGTCGATGTCCTGGTCTTAAGAGCGACGGCCATAAAACAGTGGAAACTGCGGAGATCGAGCGAGTCCTCCTCCTATCATAGTGATTGATTGTGATCTCCGGTTGATTATTTGCGACATTGAATAATTAGCATCAAAGATGTCTCGTTCGACCTTCCTGCTGATTTTCAAGTTTTTAGCTCTGTTGGTCGTCAACATCGATGCACGTAAGTGACAACATTTTTAAAACGTACACATATACAAGCATCAGTCATAGCGTGACTGTTGGATAGCGTGTTGGATTGAAGTTATCAGCTAAAGGCCGATTAATTCAGATTTATTTGCCTTCGTACACGTATATGATCATTTTCTGTCTCTTTTACTTCTAAATTGTGATCGTACAACAAACTTCTTCGACAAACATATAATCATTTGTGCATAAAGTCCAGTTTCTAACCAAGAGATATTCGTATCTTCTAGAGAGTCTCTCAGGCTTTGGCACGTTTAAATTTATATGTTGTTCGGAGTGATTCGACTTGCGATATAGGTTCGGAGAGGATATCGATAAACAGAGTTGACTTATCAAGGTTATCGGTGATACAACCGGTAAATCAGTGTAAATAAATAACGCCGGGAAAAATAAGAATACATTTCATTTCGTGCTTCGTATATTATTTTTTTTTAGCAAGATATGCGAGATTATCTTCGAAACTGTAATTAGTATGGCTCTTGTAAAAGACGATTTTGAAATCAGTTACGATTTACTGTAACAGATGTGGTGTAGAATATTCAAATTTATAATTTCTCATGCCATCTCTTTACCACTCTCTCTTTCTCTCTATAGTTATAACTTCTAATTATTTTCTGAGTGTAATTTATAACAAACCATGCTCTGTAGTTGCTATTTTATAATTCTCTACATATCGCAAAAAAAAAAGAAACATTGATTGCATTCAAGGTCGTCAAAGCGTAATGTAACATGATGTACATGAACAATTATAACCAGTAATTACAAACACATATACACACATATACATATCTGAAGTTTTTATACAATCGCTCACATCTCAAATTCAGTTGTAGGAGTTTAATCGCTGCGATTATATAAATTTACATTATTATCAATTTATGTCGCGCTTCCGCGAAAATTAAAACCGGGTACCAGTTTCCCATCGCGCCTTTCGGATTGTATGCTACATTATTTTACATTACGTCATCGAATTGATGATCAGTGTTGGAAATAACGAACAGGTATAGTCACCACGATGGAAGAAAGATATGTGGAATTACACGTTTGTATGCGAGTCGTGATTCTTCCTTTAGTGCTCATAAATTGTATGCTAATCGTAAACAAGTTTACCTCTGGTATATAAAATATTTTAAATACCGCGAGAAAAAATGACAGACAGACAGACGAAAGTAAAAAAAGAAACGAGAAGGAAGATCGCGATCTCGCGCTTTGTCGTTTAAGAAAATCAAGATTGCGATTACGCTTCAAAACTCCCGTTTTTCTTTTCCGTTGTAGAATACCAGCGAAGACAATACTGCGAGGCTGACGGCCAACAAGGCACGTGTATAATTGCCCGCGATTGTCAGATGGTGGCGACCCTCCTGCAACAATCTCGCGAGCAAGCCATCTATTATCTAAGACGAAACCACTGCGGCTTCGAGGGCTCGAATCCGTTGGTGTGCTGCATTAGCGGTGGTAACACGGTCAACACTCGTCCGGACGACACCAGAACAAACCCCGGTACCAATCCGAACCCGGACTCGTTGCCCTCTCCGCAGGACGGGGACGGCTCCACGATCGATCTGAACGATAATCCTTACCTGCCGAATCCCTGCGGTCGCGACTTGTCGCGGAGGCTCCTCGGCGGCGAGAAAACCGATCTCGACGAGTTCCCTTGGATGGCGCTCTTGGAATATCAGAAACGTGAGTTGCCTTCAAAGTACTGTTCACTTCAAGTACTATTACACGAGTTTTATAAAGCGGTCGATGAGAGTGGAAAGAAAGGACCAAAAACAAAAAAGGCTTTAAGTACCGCTCCCGATTTTTGAATGACGAATGTAACATAGCGATCCCCTCGTGCGAGACAATTCTGTTGGTTTAACGTGAATTTTCCGTTGTCTGAGGTCAAGATGAGAATTCGTTTGCAGGAACAGAAGCGATTCCCGTAGGAGGTTCTCAGTGGTTTCAATAGAGTTTGAGTATCCAAAGATTTATCCTAAATGTCCACGAATGTGTCCGGTCGCAATAATAAAGAAACATATATCATTTCTCATCACAGAGTTTTCATCCGGTCCCTATTCAGCTGCAAGAATTGAACAAATTTTGTTTTCTCGCGCATTAACTATACAGTTTTCTTCTCACGCATCTATTCCGACCGGTTTGATTACAGCTAACGGCAAAACAACGGCTTGTGGCGGTGTACTCATCAGCAAGCGCTATATCCTCACCGCCGCCCATTGCATCAAGGGCAAAGATCTGCCGGTCACCTGGAGGTTGGTCAGCGTTCGGCTCGGCGAGTACGACACCGACACCGAGCGAGACTGCATCAAGGACGGAGAATTCAGCGTGACATGCGCCGACGATACCGTCACCGTGGGTGTCGAGGAGCAGATTGCCCACGAAGATTATTTGCCGACGTCCAGGGACCAACGTAATGACATCGCACTGCTGCGTCTCAGCCGTGACGTTACATTCACCACGTACATTAAGCCCATCTGTCTACCAACCAACACGACCGTTAGCAACAAACTCGTCGTGGCTGGCTGGGGCAAGACGGAGGTCCTCTCGGCTTCCAACATCAAGCTGAAACTGGAATTGCCATTGACGAACAAGCAACAGTGCGATCAGACCTATAGCGCCGCCGGCGTCAGGCTGGGCTTCGGGCAGATCTGCGCGGGCGGTAAGCGCGGTAAGGACTCGTGCAGAGGCGACTCAGGTGGTCCTTTGATGGCCGTTGAGAGGCTGACCGACGGGACCGGCAGGTGGACCGCTATGGGCGTAGTGTCCTTTGGCCCGTCGCCCTGCGGCATGGAGGGCTGGCCCGGTGTGTACACCAAGGTCGCGGACTTCGTCCCTTGGATTCTTAGTAAATTAAGAGCGTAGAACGGAATCGATTCTAGATATAAAGAGAATATGCGTGATTTGTGAAAATAGTAATTTGTTGACGTCATTCTCGATTTTCACACGAAAGACTAACGGTAGGTGTGTGAACTCTGTAAATGTATTTTACACAAGAATCGTTGCGTCTTTTGTCGAATTCATTATTTTCGTTTAAACTCAATTTCGTGTTGTCGAAACAAGATACTGCTGAAAAAAATATATCTGCTGATTCAACATGATGAAATCTTGACCGATAAAGTAAGAAAGATTTTTCCAGCAATAGCAATTACAAGAAATAATCAGAATTTTGTTTGCGAAAAATAATGGAGGAAGAATGAAAGCAGCGGGGGAAATAATTGAACCGTGATGAGTGGATTGTATGTTAACAGGAAGTATTTTTGAAAAAATAACACGTATGTTTAAGAGACATCTTGTTGTTCTCAAAGACGTCTTAATGTTCTCCGACTTACTTAGTTGCTTATTGTAATGACTAATAATATTTTTATTATACTGAGATCTAGCACTGAAAAATATTTCACTTGACATTTTATAAGTTTCTTCATAAATATATTCATATATTGTAAAGTGCGTATTAATTATGTAATCATACACGACAAACACATATGAACTAGATTTGAAGTTAAGCGATATTTTGCTCACACTTTATCTACATTTATAATGACGTATTTTCTAATAACACTTCCGAGCTTGGGCAATTGATCGTGGAAATATGAAATGCAAATTGTCAAGTTCATATTGTGAATATTGTTACCTTGCAAAATAATTAGTATGTAAACACTGTGTAAAATATTGTTAAAAGCTAGCAATTAAAAAAAAATAAAGAAAAGACTACTCCATAATTCTGATTTGTCTTTCTTCATTTTACTCTTCACACGCAACTGCATTACACACATTTATTTTTTTCCCGTTACTTTCCACATATTTTCTCGTTATCCCTATCCTGATGTGATCAAATTTTTGAAATGTTTTATAAATATTTACCGGCCATAAAATATATAATAAAGAACAAAATCGCAGCGATATTTTGCAACGTTTTTTACTTTTCAAGTTTACTTCACTTTACAACGTTTTTTACTTCTCAAGTTCTTATTTATCAAAATGATTGCTCGCTATTTCCTGATTATGTCTCCTATTTATGCAAAAACATCGAATTATAAATGAAATTATGTCACAAAGTTCGATGATGGACGGATCTTGAAAACATGTTTAATCTTTGAATCGTTACTTGCTCTCAGGGTTATCATCGTACGCAAGCCATTATGGAGTCTATTGGTTGGTGTTATCAAAATGATCTTAATTCCACGTCATGATGTCTCGACAACCATCGTTAAAGACGTTGCGACGACGCATCAAACATTGAACTACGCCTTAATATCGACGGCTGATGGATGACTGAATGTGCAAAATTGAGACAGTAGTGTTAATTCACATAATAATACTTTAATCTAGAATTCAGTAATAATTAATTAATCAGTTAAAATTTAAGTTGAAACATTAAAAAGTTAATAATAACTTTTAACTTAAACTAATTACTTAAAATGTATTAACTTTAAGTTATTAACATTTTATACAAGTTATTATTACTTGATATAAATTTAATCTATAGTTAAAAGGTTATTTATGTGTAAAAAAATATATACATGGTTTTAACTTAACTTTTAATTCAGTTAGTTTTTATCTAAGTAACTTTTAACTAAAGTAAGTTAATTTTATAGGCTATTAACTTTGAACTTAATTTAGTTAAAAATTAAAATTATCTTGTCCAATCCTGCACTTTGATTTAACTAGATCTTTTTGCGCTTGTTATCGAGAAGACTATACGAAAAAAAGTTTAGTTGTATCAACCATAAAGGAAACAACCAGATGATTTTGTTTAAAGAAAACAGTTTTTCTGATTATAAGAACTACACTTGGACCATAAAAACCAGAAATTTTGCTTCCTTCAACCAGATCGCATCTAGTTGTTCCCTTTCCAGTTAACACAATCAGATTTGTTCCGTGTTTGTTGTTTCCATGTAAGAATTTAGAACTTTTAACCGACTAATACGTCAATTTTTCCGTAAAAATTTCGCTAAGTGATAAGTCAAGACTAAAAGAAAGAAAAAGAAAGAAAAAATATCTAGTCGACGACTTTCCTGTTAATGAGGATGGATTTGGTGAAAAATATTAGCGTTTCCTCGTAACTGTCACGTCAATCAGTAATGACTATCGCGAGAAATACAATATAAAATACATATAAACTTTCTATACAAAGCCGCATGACAACTTTATCCCGGAAATTTCTGGAAAAAAAGAGTGAGATATAAGGTGACGTCAATATGATCGAATATTTTGGGCGAGATCTCGAGCCGTAAAGTGACTTCGCAAGTGGTTTCTTTCTAGCAAATAAAATTAACCCTTATTTAGTTGCGTTCAGCTGGATTGTTAGTCGTAAACAGTTAAGTGTGACTTTAACATTAAGTAAAACGACAAGAATAACATGTAAGGAAATAAATTTGTTTTGCGGAAAAGCTGAGTCGCATTTCCGATTTTTACGGAATGACGTAATTTGCAAGCCGCAAACCGTGCCGCGCTTGGCATACCGGCTAATGGTTTGCTAATCACAACCGATTCACGATCGTCGGAGCGATTTCCCCTACTACTTTCATCCGACAATTTATTTGGCTCAGCAGGTAGCGGAGAGACTAGTCGGTCGGTGGTCAACTTGCGGGAAACTGATTATATTACTGGACAAGCCAGTATTAGTCCGTACCTCGGCTTCATGACTGATCAGCTCGGACGCTGAATGTGACTATTGCTTCTTACGAGAGTGTGAGTTCTCCGTTCCAAACGCATTACTCGGCGATAACCTTCGAAGCAAAACAGGAAAATTGCTTGTTCGGTCTAATTAGCGGCGGAGAAAAATAAAGAAGAAAGCAAAGAAGAAGACGAAGAAAAGGAAATCCACGTGAGATCTTTTTGAGATTGCTGAAAAGTTACGCGCAGTAATACCAGAAATAGCTATGACGTCCATCGGTTTGCTCTTCTTGTTCCTCGTTCTGAGGGTAATCAGTGCGCGTAAGTTATTCTAACCTTGACTTTTATATGAATTCGATTGTTCATGCAGTCATTCGTATTAATTTCAGTGCGAATTCATACATATATCAAGCAGTAGCTGCGGCTGCAGCTTATTTCATTTGATAAAAAGTGCTTATATGATTTTATCTTTCGTTCATATCAAGACGAAGTTCATATCAAGTTCTCCGTCTCGGGCTATTTTGTGGAAATATGTCCGATAATACGTCTCTCGGAAATTGTTCGCGTTGCATCACAGAACGCCACGAAATGTATGGATAGTTTGAGAAATGCCGTGATAATAATTTACCTTTGCAGAAAATACGTGCGCAGATAGACGCGCCGAATGCATTAATATCCGTCGCTGTCAGCGCGTGATAGATATCCTAAAGGGTCCAAGACCGCTGCCGCAGGAAACGTTGGACACCCTCAGGAACTCGCAATGCGGTTTCGAAGGAAATGATCCGAAGGTCTGCTGTATAAGTCAGGTAAACACTAGAATCGAATTGTTCGAGCTAAAATTAAAGGGAACACACTTGTCCATAAGAGTGTTAGTTTGAAGTAAACGGTTAAAATGTGGAAAAAGAGAAAAGTAGAAAATAAGAAGATTCGGATTAAACTATAAATCAAAATTTCAAAAGGAGGGAAAAGATAGTGTTTCTATACGGCAAAACACACAATTCAAATGAATTATTATATAATCTTCTTATTAACGAAGATCGATAGCTTTATTTTTTCTTTTAAATTAATCATCATTTTCTCTGATGAACTCGTGGATCAATTACGTTTACGTGTGTGAGACTTTATCCTTCTATTGTTTATATATATACGTAATATCTTAAATTAAACATATCGTTCTCGCGTTGTTCGTATATGTGAAGATTCGTTGCGAATGCTTCGCTACGGGTGGCTTGATATTCGTCTAAAATAACATGGAACAGGTTTCTCCGGCCGTTTGCATCCACTTTTTGCTTCATCCTTATTCCGTCATATTCGCCAGATTCCTCAAGTTTCGTTGAGATCTGAAACACACAGGAAATCTCTTTGGTGTCGCATACAAAAAATATAATCACAATAATCACAATAACAAAATTAATGAAAGAAATCGCAACGAGAATTCTCTCATTTTATTCTTGAAGGGAAAAATATTTTCCGCGCAGAAGTCAGCATATTTGAATTACACTGTTTCAATTTCAACGTTTTATGCATTTTGCGAGTGGGTTTTTATAATTTCGACGATTAAATGCGATAATACCGATAATATCAGATAATATCAGTATTAGTGCGGAACTATTCGCGACATATAATTTCCGGAATTACAAAATTATCAGTCGTACGATAATAATGACGTGACATGTAAATGTGCGATCAGCACGATACACACCGAGACGCATTACGCAAAAGCCCCCGTTGCAAATGCGCATTTTCCACGCGAGAAGAAACTGAATTGTGCGTTACATAAAATATTCTTCGCAGAGTGCGACCTCAACGGAGGCAGCGATACCGACGCCAGAGACGACGACGGAAACGTTGGTGCAGACCGAGGACGTCTCTCCTCCTCCGGACGTGACGAATCACGCGAATTTGCGTCTTCTGGATCACCAGACGTGCGGGCCCATGCCCATGGACAGAGTAATCGGCGGCAATAAAACGAGGATTTTCGAATACCCGTGGATGGCATTGATCGCGTACGACACCGGAAGAGGCACGGAGTTCCGTTGCGGTGGCACGATTATTTCCCAGCGGTATATCCTCACAGCCGCCCATTGTGTCACAATGCTACCGGACAGTAAGGAAACACAATAGGACAATACAAAACTTTAAAAGGTGCAAGGAAGGGAAAGAAAAGAAGGGAGAAAGAAAGATCGTTTTCTTCGCAACTTTTTCAAAATAATCCTTTGATCCTTCTCCACTTCTTATCTTTTTTTCAAATATCTACGTTACGTTCACGAAAAACATTGAACAGTCCCTAAAAGCTGTCTGTTGTATTTCGGAGACAGTTTTCTACTCATCTCTCATAGGCGGTGATAACTCTATATGACGCGCAACATCACTTTTCAGATCTCTCGCTGATAGGAGTCAGGGTGGGCGATCACGACATAAGCAAGGAGCGCGACTGCGACAGGGACATAAACGGACTTGAAATCGTGTGCTCTGAGAAATATCAAGATTTTGGTATCGAAAGTGTTCACTCCCATTCGGAATATAATAGAACGAAGCTGCAAAATGACATCGCGCTCATCAGGCTGAACAGAACCGTGGACTTCAGGCCTTACAGCGTCAGGCCTATTTGTTTGCCTTTCGGTACAGCGACGGCACTGGCTCAGAAAAAGGTGAGGCTCTCTGAGAATACGTGTTCTGCCTATTTAATTTTTCTGGTTGCAAAGTAAAGTAACACAGAGTAAGAATTAGAACTTACAATTACGCGTTTTTGAGTCGAATTTCTAATGTTACTTCAGATATGGCTCTAGATATCTCTTGACAGGCGTTATCTTTCCTCAGCAATTTCATCCTTTTCGGTCCCTTCGAGAAGACAATTTCTTTTTCGGCCTTGTCTCAAGTTTTTGTTTCTGATCGCAGGCTACAGTGACAGGTTGGGGCGCAACGGAGTTTGGTCCGCGCAGCGAGAGCCTCCTGCAGGCGTTGTTGCCAATAATGACTAACGAGGATTGTGCCAAGGCTTTCAGCAATTCCGTGTCGATTTGGTACAAGCAAATGTGTGCTGGCGGGTTGACCATGGTAGACTCTTGCATGGGCGACAGTGGAGGACCCCTTCAAGCACCTGCTATATACAACGCCCCCGGTATACGCAACAAGATACGTTTTGTTCAATACGGTGTGGTCAGCTACGGTCTCAAGCAGTGCGGCACCACTAATGTTCCCGGAGTATATACCAGAGTCGCCTACTACATGGATTGGATCCTGAATATCATAACGGACTAAAATACATGGCGACGTAGCGACTCGTGAGAGAAAGGACGATAGTTCCGTTGTATCTCTTGACGACTGCGAGTTGCAATAAAGACTCGGATCTACGTGGAGTTTAATAGAATCGATAGGCAATATTGATCTCGGCAGATTCCGCGAGAGCTTCAATGCTTGACTGAACGATTCAATGTCTAGAAAAATGGTTTGTGAGCTCTCTACGTTCAACGGGAGAAATTTTGTTTTGTGCCTAATTATTTCTTGTTCTCCGTTTTCAGACTGAAATGTTCTTCCGCCAGTGTCTCATCTAATCTTATTTCATTAGACGGCAATCCCGCGGTTTGATCCGATTGCGATTAGCTTAATTTGAATGATTTCATTTTATCTAGTGTATGTGTGATAAACATATTTTGTCGTAGAGAAGACGGAAAAGAGAAAATGCGTCCTCTGTTTGTTAGAGTGCGATAGATATTTTATTCCGGTGCTAATTCGATGTATGGATTACGACTTATGTATATCATATCATATTTGTACGCTTCATTATAATACATCGATTTTTCGTAAAAAAAAAAGGTATTGTTCATTCTCAAGTTTCATGAAAAGCACTTTTGTCACTCACTGATAATACGAGATTTCAACGTTTTCCTTCTTTAGAAATTAATATCAGGTGTATTTTTATTCTGCTAGAATTTTTTCATATTAATTTTAAGTTATTAGATTATAAAAGTATTAAAAGTTTGTGAAAAAAGACAGCATCCAAATTGAATGTTGATCAAGGAACGATTACCTGCGCGTTCGGCTAAAGAAATTCGACGTAATGTCGGAGTAAATGAAAAGAAAACAATTCACTCTCCGGCGATGTCGTTGTCGTCACTCTGTGACACGTCCTCACGTTCGTCATTGCGAGATCTCTCGTCACTGAACGACTTCTCATCGCTAAGATCTTCGATCAGTTCCGCCGTCTCGTTGATCGACACTTTCAGCGGACCTCGATCCGCCTTCTTCTTCGAGGTTTCAGACTTGGCCGCTGATTTGTCGGAGCTTCGTGATGCGGACGACGACTTCGACGACTGGCTTGAGGACATCAGAGTCCCGGAAGAGCTGGTCAACGATCCAGAATTCGGTCTAGAATTACTCACGAAGCTCAAATACGAGTCCAGGCTACTCGACGTGGCTCTCTTCGGCTTCTTCTTTTTCTTCCTCCGATGGATGTTCTTCGGGGAAGCTTTCGGCTGTAACTCCGCGAGCGACTGGAAGCTCTGCAAAGATCATCGCATTAAGACGCGCGATCTGTATGGATCTGAAGGATCTGCGCAATCTTCGTACAATACGCATGACTCGAATATGACGCACGAAGTAAACTCGTGAAGCAATCGTAATACCTGGGAATGTCGTTCGAAGAGGGTAGGTATTTGCGTCACGCGGTCCAGCATCATTTCCATCTGAAGACGATGGCGTTCGGCCTGCTCTCGCGCCTCATCGCGACGAAGAGACGTCCGTATGTCCAGGTCCCTCTCGTGTTCATGCCTTGCGTTTTTAGCGAAATTGCATCAGCAGATGTAATCATGAAAATCTACCAATACTTGGGATCGTAGGTTCAAAACGCATACCTCGTGGCCGATCTCAAGGCCCTCCACGCGGGCTTACGACCGATCAACGTCTCCTTGATCTTCAGCATCTGTTCCCGCCGCTTCTCCTCCATTCGCTCCCGTATCTCCCGTTCCAATTTCTCTCTGCGACGAATTTGCGATCGTGATTTACGCGTGCGAATATCTCTCTAATTAAAGCGATTAAAAATGTCTGGCTGTGTCTGTCTAATTCTTCAAATAAAGAGAATCTCTTCTGAAAAATTTATATTCTCGTTATATTAAACGGCATATCTGTCTCTCTTATGAACAGGGTGGCCCAAATCGTCGCTCATGTTTGCACAATTTTCTATATAGTGACAACGTAATACAAATAATTTTCTAATTATCCTCAAAATATTTTCGAGGACCGTCGACCGTTTCGGGTCACCCGGTGGCTTTTTCGTCGAATAAAGAAGTACCGTGAGGCCTGACATCTCAGGACCGCGGCCAGGTTGTTTCCGTGCGAGGACAACATTGTCATCGCGGACCTTGCCCTATCGGAGATCGCGGGGGTGTCGATGAGCCGCGAGTACTCGCTGTTGTCTGCGGCGAACTCGTCGTCGTCGTCGTCGTCCTTCTTCGATGTGTCCTGCAAATGCGCACACGCGGACTTGACTCGCTCGCGCCTCGCCATCGACGGCGGCAAGGAGGACGACTTCAACAGCTCGGCAGCCCTCACCCTTTTTCTGAGCTGCCTGGAACCGCGCGCGGCTCGAATTATAATTGTTTTAAACAGGATTTCTAGTTTAGTTCTTTTTTTTATTAGTCTACGACGACTCATACGACTTCAGTGTTCTCGCGATATCGGTGCGACACGAAAAACGCGCATATAAAATGTTGATTTAAATGTTCCGGAAATAAAACACAAGAGAAAGAATCGTTCGAGAATTCAAGGCTGACCTGTAATATTCGTCCTCGAGCATTCGATCGTATATTTCAGTGCCAAACAGGTTTTTCGGTACCGGCTTGGCCTTGAAGCGCGAGCTTGCGCGACTGCATTTGCCGCCGAGCTCGGGGCTGGACCTCGCCAAGGATCGCCAAGCACGGCGGTCGCACTCCAGCTTGAAGGGTCGCACTTGAGACAACAGGTTCAGCGCGCTCTCCTCGCGCACGATGCGACTTCTAAAAATATTCAAAACGACGAGACAGATGGAATAATTAGTCGATATATCGAATGAAAACAAGAGAAAAACAAAAATATGAGCGAGACAATGTGTAAAGTAAGCGGGACAACAGAATTTCCAAAATTATAAGCGAACGGGATTTACATTCTGCCGCAGTTTAGAAGTGAAAGCAAAAGAACTACGTAGATAGATCATAGGCTGACCTTTCTTCTTTTTCGGCTATTAGCTTGTCGTAGAGCGGTATCTTGGACGTGATAGGAATCGGTCTGACTCGTCGTTTCTTCGAAGGACTCCTTTTCCTGGTATCTTGATTCGCACGCGTGGCCGTCTCAACTTCCGTCATATATTTTTCCGCCTCTTCTCTGAAACAAAGTCCGTTTAATTTATAAGGATACACACAAACAGAAAGCAAGCAATGTAATATTAAGATATCCTTTAGAAGTCTTTGTTTTACGTTTGTGTGTACCTTAGTGTGAAACTGAACGGCTTCGGTACCGTGGGATGCCATTCTTTCGAGCTGTTAGGTGGCAAGCTCTTCGTCTCTATACTATCCTCGCCGTCGCTGTTTAAACTGTCGTTGCTCTTCGACTCGCTCCAAGTGCTCCAACTCTTGCTGGCCGAATGTATCTCTTTGTTGCGTAACGCCTTCGTCTCCTTGTCTTTGTCCCTGCATCTGAAAGTAGCGTCAAACGTCTGTAAATAACAGTGTACACCTGCATAACTGAATCTCAAAATGATCGAAATACCAAGTCAATGAAAATATTTGCGAGAAGGAAAAACAATCCGAGTCTTCGTCATCTATCTCTTTCATTTACTTGTACGTCAGCAGATCTTGATCCTCGGCGAGACCAGCGAAGGTGCCGGAAGGAAACAATATCGGGCTGTTGGTCCTGGACTCTTCCAGATAGCACTTCTTGCCGTTCAACTGGAGATCACCGATATCCGGCTTGTCCTTCGACCTCGAACTGTCGTTTCTCGAGATCGACAATCGCGACGGCGGATTTTCTACAATTACGACGTCTTCGTACGAGTCCTTTAGGTTTCGCAGGAGCAATCGCTGCTTCCTCCTCAAGTACTCGACCTTCTGTTTGAATTGCTCATTCGACAAGTGGTGTACTTGCCCGTAGTCCGGTATGCTTTCCAGAAACTCGAGAAAATTTTCCAAGGTGTCACTTTGGCTCGAAGATTCTGAGATTTCTTCGGTAGCGGCTTGCTCGTTCTTCGCAAAGTTGATTCTCTTACCCTTCTCCATCCTTTGACTACTGGACACCCGAGGACGTTCGTACAAGGGGGTCGGTTGTCGGCTGCAAGGATCTACCGGTACCTTGACGCATGAATTGAAAAAGGACGTACCTCTATGTTCCATTATTGTTCATCTATTAACTGGAATATTTTTATTCTTTTATTGATCGTTATTTTTTACAAAATATTTCGACTTAATTATTAATAAAATGTCTAGAAGATACAGTAGATACACTATTAGAATTTACTAAATCAGATATCAGAATGTGATAGAGTCATACAACAGAATAATACAACTACTGTCTATGTAATGATATAGGCAACTACAGTCAGCATAAGATACATAGCAAGTGTAGACTAGACAATACTAAGACATAGCGGGTATAAGACATAGTAAGTACAGATGAGGTGTTACCATTTTGATACAGGTGTAATACAGTGAACACACAAGACATGATAATAAAAAAAACATAAACCTACATATTTTCGATATGTAAATGTAATTTTACAAAAAAGTCCGAAATCAGAATTATACCTTTTAAAATATAATTAACACGTCTTTATCTCTTGATCTGTACTCACAGATACATCTAGTACACATTCAATTTTACAATTCCTTTTTCATCTTGTAAATCAAAAGCTGTTTGATCCAAGAGTCATAATCTCAAAGCTATAGAACTATGATTCGCAGACTCGATTTGTTAATCACCTTCATTCTTCCAGCGATCGGCCGAGCATGACTCCAGCTCGACCCTGAAGCGGAGGTTTCACGACCAGGTCGGGACTCCGAGATAACGGCGTACTGGCCGCTTGGCCAGCCATACTACCTGCCCGACTTACCCGGGAGGATCGATGCAACCTGGCCCAGTGTCGCCGTCGCCATGGTGAAGTCGTGGAAGTGCTAACGCCCTACAACACGGAAATGAGTGGTCGCGCGCCAAAAGCGTGTACTCGATCGATTCGCTTGCTTAATTCAAGGTGAATGCTACACGATAGCGATCTATCCGAGATATATGCAATAATTGGCTCAGTAGCCGCTTGCTTAATTAGAGAAAATTACGAGAACTTCAGAATAAGAAAATACCAGCTCGATAGAGAAGCTCGTTGATGTAAACGAAAAACAACGCTTTCTAATCGAATCCTATCGATCTTGTTCGAGATTAATTGGTTTTCTATTGATGTATATATTATTATTATTGCCCGCAAAATATATTATTTCGATATTGTGAAATTAATTATCTCAAAAGACCATGTAATGTTTAATATGTCATTTTCATTATCAGAACAGACATATAGTAATTTATAGCTAGCGAAATTTAAGAATATAAAAAAATAATGTTTCGACAAAGTGCAATGCGATCAAAAAACGGACAAGTTGTTTTTCAACGTAGTATCGATGTGCGCAAGATGGCGATTCTCAGGGAAGTGTTCTCGTCCCGTGTCATTTTCTCATTGTTATCGCAAAAGTACAAATATATCACTCCTAATGCGGTTGCGGTGTCGAGAAAAAACTATTCGACTGCCGTGGAAAATGAAGAAAATTACGATGTCATTATCACCGGAGGTGGTATGATCGGCACAACGTTGGCGTGTAGTTTAGGTTAGGTTCTACCATTATTATCTGTCTTAAGTTGATAAATAAAAAACACCAATTATTATCTCAATATATTGATTGAATAACTAGGGGAAAATATAAGAAGCATAGTTGAAGAAATAAATTAATTAAACTTATACAATCAAATTGACATATGCTAAGAATTATTGACTTTTCAATAATAACATATATATTTTTTCCAGCAAACAATCACAGATTAGAAGGCAAAAAAGTTTTACTTTTGGAGGGTAGCGATAAACAAGAGTACACACCACAGGAACAATACTCCAATCGTGTTGTTGCTCTAAATCAGCAAACTCGTATCTTGCTGTCTAGCTTAGGAGTATGGCAACACATAGAGGAAGTCCGTTATTGTCCAGTAAAGAAAATGCAGGTAACTCTATATCTTTTTATTATTAAAATCTTGTTACAATGACTAATATTCCGACAAATCATAATTTATAATATATACAATACCGAACCGATGTTACAATTGTTATAAGATAATCTTTTTTTAGATTTAAATCTCTTGTATAATCTTTTTTTTTGTATAATAGTTATTATTTTTATTGCCTTCTGTTTCATATTCTACAAAATTAGGAATTTTACAAAGCTTAAGTTTACATAATTTTTTTGACAGGTGTGGGATGCATGTTCCGATGCTATGATAACATTTAACGAGGACTATTTGTACAACGAGTTAGCGTACATAGTTGAGAATGACTTGTTGTTGCATGCAGTCAACAAGCAGCTATCTCAGAAGGAAAATGTAACTGTGATTTACAACTCTAAGGTTGCTGAAATAAAACTACCAAACACAATAGAAAGGTATACTACTATAGAGCTGAAATCGGGAAAGCAATATAGGACCAGGTTATTGGTGAGTATTAGGTAAACTCTATCAATGCTAAAGTTTCAATGATATAAAATTCTGATAGATCTTTCTAGTGAGCCAGGTTATTGCTAGATCGTTGAGATTCCACCATATGTTGTCCTTTGCGGATAACATCGTGCTATTTCACCTTCTATTTCGCAAACAATTCTAGACATTCTATCTAGCGCATCAGCGTAAATGCACCGTCGTGTCTATATCTCTGGCAATACTCTCCACCTTGTTGGTGAGGCTATCCAGTCTCATGCTGATGTTGTAGGAACATCTCTTCAGTTCGGCCGCCAGTTCGTTCAGCTGTTGCTGATTACTGTCGTTGCTGTACATTCTGCTGAGTCTCGCGTGGCTCGAGTCCACGTGCGTACTTTGCGGCGGCGCGTACCTAGAAAATCGTGTACTTGTCGCCTGTCGCGTTCTCCTCTCGCTGACCAGGCGATATATCGCCTTGATGAGTTCTCGCGGGAGACGTTTTTCTCGCGGGTCGTTCGGCCGAATGTGAATGGCGCAATGATAAGGCGGATGCAACAGCAGCGCGCCCTTCCTGCACGCTTTTATTATCCTCGTGGGCGCTCGATCCAGCAGCTTGGAGAAGAGCATATTCTCGAGGTGAGCCACCAGCTCGGCTCGGCGCACCAGCCGGTCGAGACCGGCACATCTACGCAGTTCTTGTATGTCTGATACGGCTAGACCGACCATGAGATTCGTCAGGATCACCGTCACCAGAATGACGAAGCTGAGTAGCATCAGGTGTGCCGTACCTGGATACATGAGCGTCGCGTTCTCGTCGAAGAAAACGTCCTCGAACTCCAACTCGCCGGACATCATGATGACCGTTTTCAGCAGGCTAACCAGCGGGTTGGCGAACGACTTGTAATTCTTGTGCAGCACGCTGAAGCCCAGCGAGAAGCCGATTATAAGGCAGACGTAGGCCGCGAGGAACTTGAAGAAATTAATGGACACCTGGGTGAACATTTGTATGTAGATGCCGAACATGGGGAAGCGGCCGACCACCATCATCAGCTCGATCCAGGCCAACAAGATTCCCAGCGCGGCGGCGTGATTCTGCCAAGGACACACCGGCCATATTAGAACGGCGCACGAGGCCAAGATGACGCTCCATTGCAGCCAGTTCTCCCAGCGTCTGGCGTAGGAACAGATACCGTGTGCGATCTGGAAGAGCTCCTTGCAGGCGAGCATGCAGGTGAAGCCTAGTACCGGCCAAAAGAGGATGCTGTTGAGGCGCATGGCGTCCCATAGATACGTGACACCGATGTAGCCGGTGAAGAGAGCGACGAAGATCGAGTGGAAGATCAGGCTGAACAGGAAGAACTTGCGGATGCGCAGCCACTTGAGGTAAAGAAAGCTCTCGCACAACGGATGCTTCAGCACATGGCCTTGGCCGACCTCCACCAGGCAGAGCATCAGGTCCGCCTCCCCTCGACCGCCCGGCACCAACGGTCTGAAGTCCAGCCTCAGCTCGCAGTCCACGTCCCCCAGCTCGTGATCGTGCAACGAGATCGCCTGATCCAGCCGGGCGACGAATCGTGTCAGCACGTCCGGCGTGCGTCGTATGATGAAACTCAGTGCGGTGACGCCGCCTTTCGTTCGCGCCGTCACGTCGGCGCCCTTCAGCAGCAACATCACCACGATGGGCGAGCTTTCGTTCAAGGCCGCGATGTGCAGCGGCGTGTAGCCGAACTTGTCCGCCTTGTTGACCGAGGCGCCTGCCTTTCAAAGCGAAATCGATCCGTCACGTTTCCGTCACATCCATTTCAGCGATTCGTCTACAAACCTGTATCAAGGTCTTGACCAGCTCGCACCCTCTCAAGGCCTTCGCGACCGCGGCATGCAGAGGCGTGCGTCCGTCGTCATCCTCCGCGTTCACTCTCGCGCCGACGCTTATCAGCACGTCCAGCGTCTCCACGGATAGCGCGAGCGCCGCCAGGTGCATCGCCGTTTGGCCTCGCGAGTTTTTCGCCTCCCAGGCCGCGCCGGCGCTCAACAGCAACTTCGTGCACTCGGCACTGCCTTCCTCGGCCGCCAAGTGCAACGGTGTCGACCTCGCCGCTCCTAGCTGCACCCTCACGTCCGCTCCGTGACAAAGAAGTAACTTGGTGCAACGGACGTTGCCCAGACTAGCCGCCACGTGCAACGGCGTCTCCGTGTAAACCTAACGGATCGTTCATTCGCGACAGATTCACGACTCCGGTCTCTTGAAGAGACACGCCTTGTTTTGGTGGGAAAGTGATTTGTCCTTTCATCAGCGAACAGTGCTACGTCATAAAACATGTTGAACATATTCGGAGCCGATTAAAGGTCGGATCATTTTCCCACCAAGTTGGCACTTAAGTGGCGAAGCAGCACCTGTGGATTATTGGGACAAGCACCTGCTTGCAGTAGAGTCTCGGCGCAATCCCCGGCGTTGTTCAGCACCGCGTAGTGGAGCGGACTTCTGCCGGACAATCCGGCGTCCACGTCCGCCCCGAACTTGATGAGGTACTTGACGGTAGCGACGCAACCCGCCGCGGCCGCGCAATGCAAGGGAGTGCACTTCTTGCCGAGGTCCCACTCCTTCGGATCCGCATTGTGCTTCAGCAGCTCTTCCACGATCCTCACGGACGTGGCGCAAGCCGCCAAATGTAACGGTGTTCTGAAGATAATGGTACTCGAAAACACGATCTCTTGAGATTAGATTGAAGGTTCACGGGACTTACGTACCTTCCATCGCTGTCGCTCGTAGCAACCGGCGCGCCTTTGTCCAACAAAGCCTTCGCGATCTCCACGTGGCCCAGCCAGCTTGAGATCAGCAGACACGTGTCGGGCCAGCCGGCGAGCAGTTGGCCAGGAGTCGCGGAAGCTGCCGCTCCATTCTCGCTGGCCAACAGAGCTTTCCGCATTAATCTGCGCGAATAGTGTTCTATGTTATTACTTTGTTTATCGCGGAATTAGATCGTTATCATTCCCCACCTTTAACCACTGTTTCTACGCTCGCTCATTTATTTTCTAACGCATGTGTAAATTACAGACTTGACCGTCACTACTGCCACGTTTCATTTACCCGTTCGCGAACGTAGGCAACGAGATCTTGCGATGCCTGCAGTCGGTCTCGTTGAGAGTCAGTGATTGGAATTCCTCGAGAGCTCGTTGCAGAGCGTCAGCCTGAAGAGTGGGGATCAGGGAGAGGGCGGCCTCGCCCGCGGGAAGATTCGATAACGCCACTTCAACCTCCTCTTTGCTCCAAGGTTGCTCCTGCGTCATCGGCGCCGATCGTATGTGACACGTGACGGACTCCGAGCTGTCCTCGGAGGAGATGCTGCCGTGGTCCACCTCGTCCATCCAGATGTCTTCGTGACCCTCCTAAATTGCAGCACGAACGTTAAAAGAGGCGTCAATCGGCAATCGATCGTCGTTTCTCTCACTGACCTCGTTATTGATCACTATGGACGGTGTTCGGTTGGCGGCTTCCACCATCGGCACTTCTCGCGTCAAGCGACTGCCCGACAGTCTCCCGAAGAAATTCTTCTTGCTGAGAATCGACATGGTTCGCGCCTTTTCCTCCTATTCTCGAAGAAACAGTCCAATTGACACTGATTGACACCAATTGACACCGATTCTCAGCTTTTAGGTCAACTTGACCACGCACTGAGACGAATGACAATGATTCACGAGCGCGAATGAATGAAGCGCGGCGAATTTCTCTGGTTAAGCCGCCAGTTCGTTAGGATCTATCCGGTTAATCATTGAAAAATACGAAATGGTGATTCACATGGATGACGGCGGACATGTCGTTAGATCGTCGTTTGATGAAATTCCCTCGACGTGCAGAGAATTAATGACTTCCTGGCACGCGCGCATCGTCCGCGCTCGCCGATCACTTAGCCGACTATTCTGGCTCTGTGTATCCCATGATACCCACATGTGTTCTCTGGTGTTTATAAAATAGCGTCGGCATATATTTAGCTCCCATTGCTCTCGCCGACTCTCTCTCTCTCCCTTTTTCTCCTTCCTCCTCGCTCTTTCGTGACTCCGATATGTTTCACCGGCAAAAAGGAAAAAGAAGAAATTCCCCAACCGCAAATGCTCTTCTTACGAAAGGAATGCCGGATGATCATCGTCTTATCGCCCGGTTCCGGACCCCACATTGCGCATTCAACGGAAGTCAGTGTGCCAACTGATAACGACGTCCTTTGCTTGAAAGAGTTACATTTATGTTACGTACAAAAATTACATTTCCCTTTTAAAACGATGCAATTTTAACAGGGAAAATGTGAAAATATTTTCTGACGAATGGTCTGTTTCAAACAATTTTCAGAGTAAAAGTAGAGATAAATAATGATATGTACGAGATATGCCTGCAAACGTAACGGCGCTTTTCGCAAGATAACGCTTTGCAGCTTTATGCGCGAGCGAATTGACGTTTACGACAAGAGACGAGTAGAAAATATTGACCATCGAACGCGAACAATCCCTGGTGTTCCCTGCTAAAATATGGAACAGAACCAAAGTTATTTTCGCAAAGTTATTTTAGGCTGTAAATACTAAGTGATTACAGATCGTTCCGCGTTATCTCCGGATTATCCTAGCAAAAACGATATTTCATCCGTGACGACGGATATAATTTTAGAAAGACGCTTGGCGGCTGCTGGCTCGCGTCGGCCGGATTAAAAGCAAATAAAGTCACAACGTGTTGCAGGTGGGCGCCGACGGTGTTAACTCGCTGGTGCGTAAAGCGATGGGTGTGGTGTATCCAAATTGGCAGTATGAACAATTAGGCATTGTCGCGACGCTCAAGTTGTCCGAGGTAATGGTCTCTCTGCGAGGATAACGCCGCACCAACATTCTGAAACTTCCCTGTAAACCGTTTAATTTCAGCCCACGGAGAATGTCGTCGCCTGGCAGAGATTTCTCCCGACTGGACCGATCGCGTTGCTTCCGGTAATTGACCACGAATTCTCGTATTCGTCAACCTTCATCTCGTCCCTTGCCGACGGTTCTCCACGTAGAATATGTTGACCGAGCGTTTAGACTTGGTCGAACGATTCGAGGGAAAGGATGAAGATTGACACTCGGCGCAACGTCTCGCGATAACGTGATTTTTCAAACAGTTGACAGATTCTCTCAGCTCGCTCGTGTGGTCCGTCACGACCAAGGAAGCGAAAAAACTGCTGAATGTCACGGAGGAGGAGTTCGTCGATAAGATAAACGAGGCGCTGTGGAAAGTCTATCCGAAGAACGGCATCGTCGAGAGCGGCATGGCGGCGCTTCACCAGCTGCTCCAGACCCTGTCCTTGCAGACCGGCGTGTACAGACAGTTACCGCCCTCCGTGGCGTCGATCGTCGAAGGATCGCGAGCGGCGTTCCCCTTGGGATTCGGTCACGCATCGTCTTACGTTCGGCCGGGCGTAGTGTTGGTCGGGTAAGCGGAATCTTCTCCCGGAAATAGATGAAATGGGAAGATATATCGCGATATTTCTATTTAATTCTTATATTTTCGCATTACGTACGATTGAAGGGACGCGGCACATCGAGTTCATCCGTTGGCGGGTCAAGGTGTGAATCTGGGCTTCGGCGATGTGACGGAACTGACGAAAATTCTCGCCGAAGCCACTGTGAACGGCTGCCTGCTGAACGATATGATGTATCTGCAGCGTTATGAGACACAGAGGCAACGTCACAACACGCCGACGATGCTCACCATCGACGCGCTCCATCGTCTGTATCAGGGCACAGCGGCTCCTATCGTTCTCGCCAGGAGTCTCGGGCTGCAACTGGTGAACGCTGTTCCGCAGGTCAAGGTAATGCAAACAAAAAGAGAGGTTGTAGTGCAATATATTACTTGAGATAAGAAAAAAAGCATCATGCATTTCTTGCGGCGATGGTAGTGACTTTGCAATTTTGTTTTTAGAAAATGCTGATTGATCAGGCTGCAGGAGGGACCGTGAAATAACCAGTTCGGTAAGCACGTCGTGCACCATAATATTAAACATTCTACGTGATATATTTTGTGATTTTTTTGTTTTGCATTGAATACACATTAGTAGAGAAACTCTCGGATAAATCAATATAAATTATAATATTATAGATGGACAGTCAGATTAATATCAAAATAGGAAGTATACTTTGTATGGTAAAATATACTTTGTACAGTGAATATATATATATTTTATACGTGTTGATTTTCTTAAAAACAGATTTTTTTTTCATAATATGACTTAATAAAATTTTTTCAATTGACAAGTGCTGCCAATTTATATTTATTTGTTTAAACTGTCGTACTTTTGTGTTGTGAGAATTAATAGTAAAGAATAATTGAATTTTTTTATTTGAATGTAGATAAACCTTGGACGTTCTTTTCATTCAGTTTTTTTCTCTGGCGTTTTTTCAACATTCCTTTTATTATAGCCAATGTTTCTATAAAGTAAAAATGAAGCATCCTTCCAAGGATTTATATTTTAATAATAAGCATTTTTCCACCACGACCAACACTACTCTTCCATTTTAGATCGTTGCTTTTATGAATAATAATTTTATTCGATATGCTTTTTCATAGGTTATCTCATTTCCTTCAAACTTGTTTCGTCCACATGGTCGACGTAAGCCTGTTCCTTCTAGTTACATAATGGCTATGGTCCATTTCACGCTGCAAATGCTTCGAAACGCAATGTAGACCAATCATTTTTTTTTTGAAGCGCTCCAAAGTTTGCAGCGTGAAGCGAACCCTAACCTATGTTATACTTTTATATACTGAAACGCAATAGATACATGATACCCGGTAGTGGAAGTGAGAAGGAATAAAAAATGAGAATGCGAAAATGCAATTAAAAGGAATATCTGAGTAACCGCCGCGGCTGTTTATTAATTTATAACCCAGTAACCGTTAGTGAAAATATTCTCGGCCTGAAATATCGGCGATCAACACAGAATTGTTAACAAGACTCGTTGCAATTGCATAGACTCAATGAGGTTAGTTTGTTCTTCGAGTTGAATCAATCGTATCGCTCGACTGTGCCGTCCGATGTTACGACGTCGTTCTCGTATAATACAAATTTATGCGAACTTTTATAACTGTTACTTTGTAGATTTTGTTAGGTGAGTATTTTTTTATTATATGATTTATTTTTGTACATTATTCATTATATAATATTCTCAACCTTGAGGGAAAGATTGCGTTAAGGGATTTACTTGTGCCTTTTTGACTGAAAACGCAAAGTTTTCTTTCATACGTTTGAAGAGTACAAACTTAACATACATTCTTAGTTACAGATGATAATGTTTACATCCAGGAGACTGTTCAAAGCTGCTGCCATTGGTACAGTTGGGCTAGGCACTCTAGCATCTCTCAGGGCAAATGAATACGATGTTGGATCCATTGGAATCGTACGACTGGGACGGGCTGCAATCACAGTATTCGACATAGGCCGATACTACCAGAAGAAATTGTACAGAAGTAAATTAGACAAGTTATCGGCAGAGTACCTGCAACTGAAGTCAGATGCTCACAAGTACGGAGCACAGAAGTTGCTGGAGCTTTGCTGCGCCAACAAGGGAGTCTACATCAAAGTCGGCCAGCACGTAGGTGCATTGGATTACCTACTACCTCAGGAATATGTGCACACCTTGCGCGTACTGCACAGTTCAGCACCGCAGTCTTCGTTCAAAGACGTGCTGACCGTGATCAAGGAGGACTTCAAGAAAGATCCGTACGAGATATTCCAGAGTATCGACCTGGAGCCGCTAGGCACTGCTAGCCTCGCGCAGGTGCACAAGGCGGTGCTGAAGAACGGCGACGTGGTGGCCGTGAAGGTTCAGCATCGTTCTGTCAAAAGCAACTCCTACGTCGACATCAAGACGATGTCGACATTGGTGAAGATCACGTCACTGGTGTTCCCAGACTTCAAGTTCGACTGGCTCGTGGACGAGACGAAAAAGAACATTCCGCAAGAGCTAGACTTCAGTCGCGAGGGCAAAAATGCCGAGAAGGCGGGCAGACTCTTCTCCAACTATCGGTGGTTGCGGGTGCCTGAGATACACTGGGACGTGACGACGTCACGCGTGCTCACGATGGAGTTTCTGGAGGGCGGTCAGGTGAATGATCTCGAGTACATGCGCGCACACCACCTGAACCCGTACGAAGTCAGCAGCAAACTCGGCCGCCTCTACAGCCATATGATCTTCATCGACGGCTTCGTGCACTCCGATCCGCATCCCGGCAACATCCTGGTGCGTAACCGTAACTCCGAGGTAGAGATCGCATTGTTGGATCACGGCTTATACGCCGATCTGTCGGATGAGTTTCGCTGGGACTACTCAAAGCTGTGGCTGGCGATCTTGGACGGCGATCTGGCGACGATGAAGAAGTACTGCACGCGACTCGGCGTCGGCGACTACTACGGCCTGATGGTCTGCATGGTGTCGGGCAGAACATGGAACACCATCGTGTCCGGCGTGCGTAAGAGCAAATTCGACCCGATGGAGAAGGAGCAGTTCCAGAAGGATATCCCGAATTTCTTGCCGCAAATCAGCACCGTGCTGGACCAGGTGAATCGGCAGATGCTGCTGATATTAAAGACCAATGATCTGATGCGCGGTATCGAGTACTCGCTGCGCACCCAAGCCAGAATGTCAGCGATGATGGAGATGTCCAAGTGCTGCGTGCGCTCCGTGTACGGTGAGAAGTTGAGGCACTGCTCGAGTACGTGGGACAAGTGCAGAGTGTCGTTCTTGGAACGTTGGACGCTCTTCAAGCTTTCTCTCTACTACGTGTACCTGGGCCTACTACATTTCAATTTGAACAACGCAGTCAATTCTTTGTGGACAAAGGACTTCTATCCATTTTAATGTGAACTCTCGTCTAGATCGTAATTACGTTTCTATCTCTAATAAGGTGATCGTTGCGTTTCTCACAAAGTTTGTTCTTCTAAATTATCGTTTTTACAATCTATGTATTTTTCTTATATATATATATATATATATATATAGCCTATGTATTTTTTAAAATATATTTCAGTATCGAAAAGAGCAGACTTGGACGATGTGTACAGCGATGCAGTGATCCTGTTTTCGATGTCTTCGATATGTACATAATAATATATAAAATGTTTTGCTCGTTTGTCATTGATTTGTTAATTATGTTATAGCTTACCTGTTGAATCAAAATATAGTGATCGTCGAGATTTCATCATTTAAATTTGATCAAGAGTTTATAACAAATATATTTGTTAAAGTTTTAATTGGTCTTGACATAATAATTACCTTTTAAAAATGAGATGCAACGAACGATAACTGGATAAAAGTTTTCGCCACTGAAAACTTGCTCATTGAGATAAACTTTTCTTTTTTGTAAGGAAGTAATACGCAAAAAATGTTGATGCAATTATATTCTCATTTTTACTAAATATACAATAATATAGCATGAAGTTCAATATATGTTTATACATTAGTTCTGAGCAGTTTGCTCTCTTTAGCTAATTGAAGCTGCTCACGAAACTCGGTGACAATCACTTCTCTGTTTTTTAAGAATTCGGCATACTCAACTGGGTCTATCTCCCGCACAACTTCAATGCCACATGTGCGAGCAATGCCAACCATCATTTGACAAATCTGTTGCAATGTCATCAACGCCAAGGATGGATCCTCCGACTTAATTTTAGCAATCTCGTACAGATGCTTCAAAGTGATTTTACCAGCTACCCTGTCTAAAATTATTTCCAATTTTTTATGAGTTCGTTTTTATTATTTTATTGTATGTTTTACATATTAGGGATGTTGAAAAAAAATATATAGGTATTTATTTTGTCATGTAATATTAAAGTATATATTTTTAAACATATTGAAATATTGTAAAATTAAAATAGTTTATGCTATTTCCTCTTTTAGAGATGAAACAAAAAAGAAGTTTGCCAAACAACAAAAGAATTTGTATCTACCTTCTCTACCTATTGATCCTTTCTTTATACCAGCTGCTTGTTTCAAAAAGTATGTTGCTGGTGGTTTATGGATCACTAAATCATAAGTTCTATCTGAATTTACTTTGACTCTACAAGGCAAAGGAATACCTTCCTTGATATGGGCTGTTCTTTCGTTAAATTCTTTGCAGAAATTTGCAATATTAATATTTCTCTGAAAATAAAGTAAGTTATATATTACAATCGTACTGAAAATTGATGCAATACATGTATGTATATATTCATACATTCTGCTTTTTTTCTTTTTCTCTATATTTAAGATACTATAAATTGACCAACAGCAAATGAGTTATGTTAAGCACTTCAGTAAGTTTCAAGATGACAATATCAACGAAATTTATGAAAACCTTAAAAATAACAAATTTAGGTTTTTACAACGAAAAAATCGAGTGAAAATTTATTTCAATAATCCATTTTGCGATAACAGAATACTATTTCAAAATATTCTAACCTGTCCGAGCTGAGATCCAAGCGGTGGTGCAGGCGTTGCCATACCAGCACTAATATTCGTGCGTAATTTTGACGAGTGATCGGCCTTTTGCGCAATTTTCTTAACATTCATTTTCATTCTACTTCCTATCTTCGACATTTTTCAACGTTCTATGCGAATAATTGCTTTGAAATAAAAGTTCAAAAGCCAATCTAACCTATCATTGAATCGTACCAATGAAAATACTCTCATGAATTTTATCAAAACAAAATGCGCACGCGCGACGTAAAGGGATTTATACAATAGCGCCCTCTGATCTTTCCTCTCATATTCTCTTTTCTTATTCTTGTGTTTAGCAATTGATAGTTGGCGACATTGAAGCAGTTTCATTAATGAAGAGTTGTGATTGTTAATTTAATAAAACGAAAAGGAAAAGGTATCGTCCTAATCTATAATCAATATGCCTATAATTAATTTTATTGAGATTGTATCTCTTTTCTTGCTATCTTGAAAAACTACAATTTTTCGAATTATATCACTTCCATGTGACATGCGTTTTGTTTAGAGGTTACGTAGTTATTACGTTTCTGCGTGACAGTTTGATCTTTAGCTACTGTTTCTCTGAATATATAATTTACTTCATATTGCGGAAGCTGAAAATATACCATATTTAATTTTGTGATATATTTTCTTTAAAGGTATTAAAAAAATTCTTCAAGATGGGGAAACGCCAACATCAGAAGGATAAAATGTAAGTTATACTGTTATTTTTTCTTGGAATAACAAGTATGGAATATTTTGTGACTTAAAATTATTAAAGTAAATTTTTTAGGCTCTATATATTTTTTTATTATATCTTGAGCATATGAAAACACCTTATTCAATTTTTAATCAACTGACAAACTTTGAAATTTTTTTAGGTACTTGACATACACGGAATGGTCAACATTGTATGGTGGAAGAAAATCTGGAACTTTAGAAACAAGTGAAGAGAAAACATTCAGACGTTTACCTTACGACCATTGTTGTTTGACTCTACAACCTTTTGAACATCCTTACTGTGATGCAAATGGAAATGTATTTGAACTCGAAGCTATTCTAGAGTATTTAAAACGTTATAAGCACAATCCTGTAACAGGTAAACCATTGGATGCAAAGAGTCTTATCAAACTAAATTTCCACAAGAATGCACAAGATGAATATCAATGCCCTGTTCTCTACAAATTGTTCACAAAGCATTCGCATATTGTCACCATTAAGACCACAGGAAATGTATTCTCTCATGAAGTAAATATACCCAAATATTTTCATTCTTATTTATTTATCTGTTTCACTTTATTGCATATGTTCTACTTATATAACTTTGTTATAGAATATTTTATTTATTTATATAATGAAAATTCTTCCAGGCTGTTGAACAATTGAATATAAAAGCTGGAAATTGGAAGGACTTGATAAGTGATCAGCCTTTTACGCGAAAAGATATTATCATGATTCAAGATCCAAATGATGCAATGAAATTTAATCTGTCTACATTCCATCATATCAAGAATAACATAAGAATGGAGGATGAAGGTAAGTTTTGAATTATATGGGGAGAAAGGTAGTTTCCATGTGCTTGATATTTTTTTTAAGATATTGTACATAAATGAATATCTTGTAGAAACAATAAGAGAGCGAAATAATCCAAACGCGAAATTGAAGACCGTTTCGACAGAGACCAAAGAAATTCTAGCAGAGCTCGAAAGAGAATACAAGCCAACAAAAACTAACACAGAGGACACCTCTGAGCAAAAGGCTGATAAATTTAATGCGGTTTGTATATAATTTTTATAGATTTAATAGGATTTTTGTCTCGTCGGTACTGGAAGTAGCTTTATTGTTTATTTTTATGCAGGCACATTATTCCACTGGCGCGGTCGCTGCTGGATTTACCTCGACAGTGATGCCAGCAGAGACCATCCATCAAGCGGCTGTAATTGAGGAGGATCTAGTACGATACGAGAGAGTTAAGAAAAAAGGTACATATGTTATATTACTATTATAATGTTATATATGTATATGTTAATAATATACTTTTGCTCGAACTCATGATCGATCCCTTCATTTTTTTCTATCTTAGGGTATGTAAGACTATTCACGAATTTCGGAACCTTGAACTTGGAATTGTTCTGCGATCAGGTTCCGAAGACCTGTGAGAACTTCATTAAACATTGCCAAAACGGTTACTACAACAGTACGAAGTTCCATAGGTCGATACGAAATTTCATGGCAAGTACATTTAACTTTAATACTAATCTTCAGCTTCAGGTCTCTCCGTACTTCCATTTTGTGTAACTCACTCAACATTTCTTGAAGCCGTATATTCTTTATAATATGTTATTATAATGAAACGATTTCGTCTTCGTGCTGTTGCAGATTCAAGGTGGCGATCCGACGAACACTGGTGACGGCGGCGAGTCGATTTGGGGTAAACCGTTTGAGGATGAATTTAAACCACTTCTGTGTCATCTGGGCAGAGGCATCCTGTCCATGGCAAACTCAGGTCCGAACACCAACAGATCCCAATTGTGAGTTCAAAATCAATATATCACGTGCTATCTCAATATATATCGCACCGTGTCTTGCTTTTTTCACTAACACCGGCGTTATATCGTTTCAGTTTCATCACGTTCCGCTCGTGCAGATACCTGGATCGCAAACACACGGTCTTTGGGAAAATAGTCGGCGGTTTCGATACGTTGAATGCGATCGAAAAGGTAGAAGTGGACAACAAAGATCGGCCGATAGAAGATATAGTTCTGCAGGGGGTTCAGGTCTTCGTAGATCCCTTCCAAGAAGCCGACGAACAGCTTGCGTCGGAACGTGCCGCCGAGACAGAACGGCTAGCTCAAGAGGCGAATCAGAAAAATTCAGCGGACAAAACCGACAAGAATGAAATCCAGAAAGTTTATCGATCCGGCATAGGAAAATACGTGAAGCTGGAGCCGGAAAAGTACGATTTCATTGTTTCATCGCGTTCGTAGGATAGTAATTTGTTCGCTCGATCTATTTTTGTAATGTGAAATTGACTTTTCACAGATCGGACAAATGGGACTCGAACGCGGAACCTGTTACGAAGAAGAAGAAAAATCTATCACAAACTTACGGAGATTTCTCCTCCTTCACATTTTAATATATATATATATAAATATTGAACATACGTTTCTTAATTAGTTTAAGATCAGTGGTCAAGTAAAATATATCTGTATTTATATCATTACTAAGTTTCCCTGACTTTGTGTATATATAATCTCTGTGAAAAATCTAAGAATATATAAGCAACGTTAACGCAAAATTCTATTATAAAAATTTAGAAAAATTGTCCTTTCAATTTTCTATCGCGCTTCTATATTAGCGAAGATTTTTCTAATCTCAAGATCTTACAGTATTAACTTAAAGTAGTCACTGTGAGATGTAAATTTTAATCATTCTGATTAATATAAAAGGTGAAGGTGTGTGTGTATATATGTGTGTATACACACGTGCTTATACATGTTGTATTACGAAATTATGGAGATATATTTTGATAAATAGTTTTCCTAATACCCTTGTCTATTTATGGAAAAATGTAGCGTGTTTGTGCATGTTTGGTAGCCCGGTGTAGTTCAGGGCCTTTATTCATGAAAGAGGCCGAATCGTGCCGGAACCTCCATGTTTGATGTCCGGCGAGTGAGTGAGCGAGAGCGAGAGTGCGTGCGAACAGAAGCGGAATCGTCCAGCACGGGACGTTGGTGAGCGAGAATCGCGCGCGTCTCGCGCCTCTTCGTGGTCCTGACGACGTGATTCAGGGTGATCGCAGACGGTCGCGCGTGTAATCCTGTACGTCGTGGGAACGCTCTCACCATGGACGATCTTGGTGAGTAAGATGTTTCAAAATACAGACGTATCAGCGAAAGCTAACCTCCAAACTCCTGCCTGTCAAGCGTCCCGAGATATTGAGATTTATCTGTGGCATTTATCGATACCGTCATGAAAGGGCATTGAACGCCGAGAGTATCGGTGCTCTGATACGTATTTTTGTCGAGAAACTTTACCGAAAAATTATCTGTCAAGAGTACAAGGATGCTGGAATGTATCGGAGTATCGATACCGTTACGCTTTCGTGTTGGAGGTATCGACGCTGCAAGATACGTTTTCGTACGTCACGCGTGTAAAATGTAAAAATGCTGGAGTTTATCATAGTATTGATATTGTATTCGTCGAAAGAATATCGACGTCTCAGTACGTGTTTTCGTTCTGCCGGAATGTCGAAACCGCTTTCACCGAAAATATTGATACTTTCAGACACGTTTCCGTTTGCGTCGGCCGAGTAGAGAAATCGTAAAAAACGAATGTTTGTTTCGTTCAATACCTCTTAAGACCTGTTTATAAATATTCCAGTTGTCTATTCCGATGAATGAATTGATGGGAGAATGACTATGTTATTTTCGTTCGTTCAGAATTTTAGTATTTACAATACGGTCTCTCGCTTATCAACGAGCATCATCGTCGTTATCGGTATAAGCCACTACAAACACATCACAATCGATAAGCGAATAGTATACGTCTAAGGATTCCGCCCAATTTCTAGGACCAATTAGATCCTTCTGTTTTTTAATAATAAAATACTTGATATGCATTGTTGGTCTGTTCTTTTTAGCTAAACTGGCTGCACTGGTTCAAAGAATTTACATACCCATCGAAGCATACGTATGAGATTCTCACGCTTGCGCAAATTTCTTGAACTAGTATAGCCAGTTCAGCTAAAAAAAATAGACCAGAATTTTCGAGAAATATAAAACAACAGATTTGTTGTTATAAATTAAATCTTGTCAAGCGTCAAGGTAAACGAGTAGTTAATAGGTCTGTTCGTTTTCGCTGCATCGCTGAACTAGTGCAATAAGTTGAAGTGAGAAAACATATCTTGTCTTGCTTCAACTTATTGCAATAGTGATGCAGCGAAAACGAACAGACCTAATATCACATGTGTTAAAATATATTTAAACACACCTAGCTTTATTTCCGAAAGTTAAAATTTTGCTCGCTTTGGCACACATTGTGCGGCGGATTACTCTTCTAATTAGTCAGGCGAGTCGTATCGAGTATCTGTAAAGTTAGCATTCTGAGATGCGAATTTTTATCAAATTCACATTTCGGAATGTTGTAAGAAAATTGTTGTCCATTCCGCAAAAAATGTATGATCAAATGAGAATTTTGTCAAATTTTTTATAGACAAACGTGGGCAAATCGCGGATAAACGAATGCCACATGAATTTGATAAAAACTCGCATTTCGGGATGCTGACTTCGCGGATCCGTGGTGTCGGCGATGTCGCGAGTAAATCCTCGCGTGCAAATCCGCGGATAAAATGATCGCGTGCTGAATCGTATCGCAGCGATGCGGGGAGAAAAGCCGCGAGAAAAGCTGGAGGGGCACACGGGCGATCGCAACTATTATCTCAACGCGTATGGCGTATGGCCTCGCCGTTGCATCAGTGTTATGCGAACTGTACATTAGTTTGTCACGTCGAGTACTCGTTATGGTGATGCTCGGTGGACTCGCGGTTTCACCATTCGTAGACTGGAAGTGAAGTCGAGTGGTGTGTCGAAAAAAAGTTGAAAACGACCGAGTGAAATTTGGCAAAGATATTCACATGTGTGTTATCTTGGGGTAATTGAGAGAAAATAATTAACATCGCTCCGAATATAGGTACGAAAAGTGCGACGATATAATAATACAAGGGTCACACACGATACCGAGGTGTGAATGGCACTTTTTGGCACTTTGCCTATCGTTTCGCGTTTCCAATCGATCCTTTTGATCGCGATTACCAACATGACTTCCTTTTAACATCATGGATTGCACGGTCCTATTTCGGTATACGCGTTGCAATTGTTTGCGAACTTTAAGTTAAGACGTTGTTCTCTGCAACATTTTTACAACGTTACTCTTCATTACGTATTTCGAGCTGCTCAGATTAATTTCCCTCTAAAATATCCAAATGTGATTTTTTGGAAAATTTATATACAACACGATAATTTACACGATAATTTAAATATTGGCGGCATATGTAACATACGGCAAAATGTGCCAATCTTTGACGGCCGATGGATTTTTCGTGTTGATAACATGGTAACCCTGATAACGATAGCAACGTTTAACATACATACGTCAGTCCGATATTTCTCGCCGACAACGATGCACATTTTATGTCCCGACGCGATATAAGTCAATTGTCTTTATTTTATTTATTAATTAATTTATTTTTATATTTTATTTATTAATCGTCGTCGGGAAATCATTCGTGTATTTTCTGTCGGCTTTCTTTACTTCGTGCGTTTACCTGTCCACTCGTCTTCTCTTTCGTCGCGACGCGTTCTTTGATGCTCCAACCATTTCTTTATCTTACCTTTTCTGCTTTCTCTCGGCCTTTTTTCATCTATTTTTCTTCTTTTGTTATTATTTCTGCGTGCTTCTGTATGTGCGTTAATTTATCATTATATGTATGCTCTTGTATATATTCTTAGAGAATACGTATAAAAAATGTAAAAGAAATTGAAATAGATGGAGAAAAATAAAAAAGGGAGAGAAGGAAGGAGTTGCTACTTTAATTAATACTGTAATAAACGCTTCTCTCTCTCTCTCTTTCTTTCTTTCCTTCCTTCCCTTTCTCCATATTCTATTCTATTCTACTTGCCTACCTCTCTTCCATCTCGACTCTCTCTAGTCTCCAAACTGGCGGTTCTCTCTCTTTTCTCCGCGACGCCGCTCGACGCTTCTCTTTCTCCGAGAGCGAAGACAGCGGCCAGGACGAAAGAGACCGAAAGAGAGCTCTCGGTGACACTGGGCGCGGGTGAGCGCCGGAAATACACACTCGCGTGTGCTTCAACTACTCTTATTCGCTCAAGACGTTCTCCGTCGCCAAAGAGTGCGTCGCGCGTAATCGTGCGGTCGGCGACAAATTTTCCGTGCGCGTTTCCGCGTCAATTCCGAGCCAATTCGCGCTCCGAAAAAATCACGTCGACGCGCCCATCCCTATTTTCGAGGAGGCCACGTTCTCGTCATAATGCGCGAATAACGTTACGCGGATGTCGCCGCGCGCTGATGAATCGGAAGCGCGCTGTTAAATTTTTCCGAAACTTACGGGCTTTCACCGCGAGAGAGGCAATTGATTGTTGCAGTTACAACCGCGCTGGTGAAGTGAACGAGTGCCAATTAGCTCTTTCCGCGTGGCATTTGTATCAAACGAGATACTCGCGTCGAATAGATTCGCCCGGGTGACCTTTGATCTGTCATTTTGATCCGTGGTTTACTCCCAGCGGAGGACTCTACGAGGTAGTGCGAATAAAATTTACATGTTGTTAAAATTAGTAATCCAAAATAGCCGTACTCTGTAGCCTGTCTGAATCTTGAGTTCACTAACACAGTTAAGGGTCAACCTCTTCCGTTGAACCGTCGAATAAATCATTTTGCTCAGCACGGTGCTCCGAGACACGTCATTCCTTTCGCTTCCTTCCTCGTGTCTGCGATTCTATATTCTAGAGTTCATTATCCCTCCCTCGATGAATAAACAGACATTTATATTTACCAGACATGTATCTTGACGAATCGACGGCGAGATACAATCGTCGGGGAATGCGATTTAAACTGCTACAAAAATTTGCCTTTCCTTTCTATCTATTTTCATATATTCGTTTACAATTTTGACATTTACATTAAATTTTCCGTACGTTTCAATCGCATCCAAAATTCGGTGTAACAGAATCATTTGCTGCCTGCTTTCATTACGAATTGGAGGGAATAACGCCAGTAATTTGACGCGGTGAAAAATTGAACCGTTACGGAAGTCACGTCTTCTTTCATTGTACCGCACTGGTTAAATTAGCGTCAATTCGCCGTCACGCAACGCAGAACCGCAATTACTTCTCCGGTAGGGCTTATGTCACTAACTCCATCGTTTGCTCCACGATCGCCACGTGAGTGAACACGTGCACGCACGCGCGCGTACGCACGCGCATCCAATTCTTCGCGACATACGAAGTGTAAGTGTGTGACATTCATTGTGTGTTTGTGTGTATTCGCCCGCGTAGTGAGCAGAGAAAGATGGCCATGGATCGGACAATGTACGGCAAAGTAGAGCCAGGCGACATTTATCAGCCTTATAGGATCACTATAAAGAAAGGCTCGCCTCCCGGATGTAAGTTCACTTTTAATCGCATAATGCGTTATACCGTCATCGATACACAGAAAACAAATTTCTTCGGATTTAGCATATGTATTTATTTGAATTGTATTTGTTCAATACGAACAATATAATTTAATATCAAATATCATTTTATTCTGAATGAAAATGTTGTCTCACTGGAGTAAACTATGTAGTTTGATAGAAAAAAAAGAAAACACAATATCATTTAGAGGAAATAATATTTGATTTTCATTAAAAAAAATTTATCTCATTATGCATCAAATATTGGAACGTCAAGTGCTTAAAGTATGAAAAAAAATATTCTACAAACACGTCAGACTTGAGATAGATCTCGGCTAGATTCGAAGATTATTATACCTAATCGGGTCTTCCGAATCGTTAATGACGTACGAAAAGCTTCACTTTGAAGCTGACCACGCCCAATGACCAATTATTACAATAGTTTGACCAAATGGCGGTCAATTACGAATATATTTCCCCCGTAGAATGAACTCGTAAAAAGTAGAAACTTTCAAGAGAACACCGAAGAAAAAAAGATTCGCGATCGACCGTGCAGGATGTGACGATCCTTTTGATCTCTGATCGTCGTTTACACGCGCGATTAATCCGTGACGCGAACACAAAATTACTACGTCATCGTTGCGCGTTCCTCGATGATCGATACGAATTCAAGGTGAACGCGTAGGCATCTCCTCTTCCTCGATCGGTCCTCGGAGGATCCGCACCTCCATATGAGGTCAGCTTCGCGTGTTTCCACTTCCTACGCTCGCTCGCGCCGCGCAAATATGTAGGAAGGCGCGATAAAGGCCGATTTAGATATCTTCGATCGGTTGACCGAGTAACCGGTAAAAAAGGAAAGAAGGGAAAACAAATCGACGTGCGAAGAACGTGCCTAGGAATCGATGCGAAACAGCTAGTTTTCTGCGCGCGACATCCGCGACGGTGGCTTCGCGTTCTCCGCGAAGGAAACACGACTTATCGGAACTTATTTTCCGGGAGAGAAAGCAGAGAGATTGGAAGGCATGTCCCTTGCGCCCAAATTTCGAGGGAGAAGGGTCTATTGTTAGACACACAGATTAGATATTTAGCTCGTTATTCACGTAATTGGCTCGTTCGGTCTCTACATCGCATCGTGAAAATGTCGCAACGTGAGGAATCTTTCGTCTCGTCGATAATCGGATGAACGTGTGCGCGTATGTGTGACAGTTCGACTGGTATCTGTGTGACACGCGAGGGCGAAGATTTATCGAACGAGCGGACGTCTCGACACCCGCGATAACCAGTGAGCCGCCGGGTCTATATTAAAAGGGGATCGTCGTGAGGTGAGGGACGCGGGCAGGGTAACGGTTCACGTAACAGGGATTTCGCAAGTGCGGCAAACGCGGCGGCAACAACAGCACGTGGTGCCAGTCCGGTCTGGTATCGCCAGACATCCGGAGCTGATCGATCATCTCCGAGTCGCGAGTCCTGACGAATCCCGGACAGCATCCGCGCCACGTGCTCGTCGATCCACGTGTCCGGTTCGTAAGCGTGCGACGACTACACGACGTCGTGTCGTCTCGTTAACGATAGCTGACGCGGTTGAGGAGAAGCGACGCTCTTATCGATCCTGTTCACTTTGCAGTCGCGAATGACCCTTTGATCCTTTGCGTGCTCTTTAAATTTCTTGGGGTGAAATCTCGCGAACGAGTGAACATTCGCTCGAAGCGATAGCGGAAATATATATCCAAATTTTTCGGTCGATCAGGGTGAGTTTGTTCCGGTGGGGCACGTCGGATTCACTCTCTTCAATTACGAGTAAAAATGTTCACTCGGCGATTCGCATGAGTGTGAAAAGTCACTCAACTTCGAGTGAGACTCGGCTGTCAGTCTGCTTTTCAAGTGGAATTTCACTCGACGAAATTTCGAGAGTGGACGACAACGGTCATCCATTCAGGATGATGCGCTGTTATTCTATTGAGCGCCTCGCAAAGGCATTACGTTCAATTTTCGTCGTCCGTTCGTCTCGTTTCGATCGCTTCTGTGGATGGTCGCGAAATCCGTCGTGATATTTTTATTCCGCACACCGTCAAGATTGGCAGACATTGTCGTTATTATCATCATTATCGACGATTTTATTCTCGACGTCTGCGATGATGATACGTTCATGATACGAAAGAGAGAGAGAAGGAGGAAACGCGTTGGAGAAGGCTGGTCTCGTCCCCTCCGTCGCCCGATATTCGAGAATTAAACGCGGCCGTTCTGGAATAGGATTAAGGTGTCGCCGGTCCAGCCGAGTCTCTAGTTCCGCTCTAATTTGAGGTTTATTTTTACCTCGCGGCCGGTTAGAACACAACACACAACGCCGCGGATTTAGTTCGCGCGTGATTTACGGCGGGCCCGGACGGCGCGATCGATAACGAACGACGCCTCAAATATTTTCAGCGTGTTCATCGTTTTTCCTTTCTTCTGCCTCTGTTTACCGCTCTCTCGCAAGTTTGCGAGAGACACCTGTCGCTCCCATTTCTTCTCCGCATGGAATAATATTTTCGAAGATCCAATTAAAGCGACGGAAAAATATGCAATTATCTCGCGCGGCTTCGAGAAAACGAGGAAATTGACGCGATTCCGCGAGACTTTATCGCAATTTTCCAGAGGAAAAGCTAGCGGAGGAGAGGAGGGAGAATTTAGAGCACGAAATTATTGTGCAGGATATTGCGCAGTTGCACAGGGTGGCTAGGAAGTCGCTACCGCGAAAAACCGTTCGCCTGTCTCTATAAAGTCAATAAAAATTTGCATATCTAGTTTATAATACACTGACAAGAATCAGCATATTAATTGCCGCATTAATCAGCACATATTATCTGTTTTGCGTTTATTTTCGCGGTGGTGACTCGCAATAGCCGTCCTGGCCATATGTCAGGTCAGGATATCGCGTTACCGCATAAGTCGTTGTTCCTCATGTAGAGAAAGTGAGATTCTTGCAAACGCGCAACGATGACGGATGTGATGAGACCCGTGTCACCGATTTCACCGGTTCGTCTAGCGACGATTCGACGTCACGCACGATGGGAGCAATATATCAGTAAGTGCTTGCTTAAGTATTGTCCCGTTGACCCCAATCGCCTACGAGATGTGTTCCATGTCCACACACGTCCGTTCGTAACCCGCTGTTGCGACTTTTGCGAAAATCACACATCGACCGGACAAATTTTCGCGGGTGATCTGGATTCGCGGGACTGTTTAGCCGAGCATAAAGCTGTGGTGGTTCAACATGTCACAACCTCTATCTCGGTTCATCTTCGTCGGGATTTACACAAGATACGCGCGTTTACGCGCGCGGCACGCAATATTGATGCCCGACTCGCGACGGTATGAATCAGCCGTGCAAAATAGACCTCGATAAGCTCGGCAGGCTTCGTGCCAACGTTAAGTCCCATTCAGACGATTACTCAACGCGTTCTTTGCGTTGAGAGGCAAAAAAGATTGCATTAGCGCGCAGAAACGCGCGGTGCAACGTGTACGGATACATACACGGTGAATCCGAGCCGCGCGAAATCGTACAGTGGCATCATGTATGCTGTGTATCATTCCTTAGATTAAAAATCACACGATTTTCAGTCTTACATGTGTACACACAAGGTAAAACCAGTCATAATTAGAGCCAATATAGCCCTGTCTCTATAATTAGAGTTATTTATGTGATTTTGAATCTTATGGGTTATATTATTAGGTTGAAAATCGTGTGATCACACGTGGTATACTTATTTTTTACTTCTTAGTTTGACACACTAAGTCTCTGACGTCCGATAACTTTTCTGATACACGTCGTTGTTTAAATATCCATAAATATTAATATTTTATAGATATTATAGTTTTGAGTGTAAAAAAGGTAATTTAAAAAAATTGTAGCAATCATTATTTTTAAAATAATTTAGAAAAAAGAAAGAGAGAGAGAAAGAGAATTTAAGAAGTATAAGAGAAAATAATATATTGATTCTGCAAGGAAATAAAAAATGTTAATATTTTAAAAGAAGAATTCTATATTGATATATGTACTAATTCAAGATTCAACCACTGTAAGATACTAATTTTCGCTTGGGTCAATTTGACCCAGGATGCCAAACTAAAGTCAAGTTTATTCATTCACGATGAAGAGAATCTCTTTGTGTTAGACTCTTCTAACGCGACTGAAGTTCTTTCAGTTCTCTCAAGTTGCAGTTTCTTCGAATCTGTAACTTGACGAGCTGGATCTCTCGGTGCAATCGGTTTCCCCGTAATCGGCCGTCGCGAAGCCAGCTGCCCAGGTCGTTTCTTCCTAGTACCGCAGCTTCCGACCGTCGTCCATGCCCCACCATACGTGCCTCCTTTCCGTTTTTCCTCCTCTCCAGGCCGCTTCACCTCCTCCAGCGGTAGCTCGCTTTCGGTATCGCTTTCTCGCCAACTTCAATGACAATCAGTACCGTTCCGTCGATGCTCATGCACGCCGTCTTGTACGCGCGAATCCATACCGTCGAACACGTGTCGCTCGCGTACGGTTCTTCAGGTGCTCCAGCGAGCGCGTAGAAAATCGAACACGTTTTCGGATAGAAAAAAAAATAGTGAGTCCTTTTGGGTAAAAATAATCACACGACGTGGATGGGAAAAAATTCGTCGTTGCGCTGCTTGCATCGAATCGTTTTAACGATTATACGGAGTTGCTTCTGATTAATCACGACAAAGTGATTGAGATTTCAGCGTTACAAGTGTTACAATCGTGTAACTCGCTGCTATCATAGAAAATGTCGCACATCTCGGCCGATAGATACTGATATTTACATCTCAATATCGGCATTCGATCGATGACGTTCTCGGACTTATTTGCATAACTTGTTTCGCATTTCGCAGCACGGCGATGCCGACGAGATAATAGCGGTGACAATAATAATTCGAGACATGTGCGCAATTGGCGCGACAAAAGGCAACTTGAGATACGTTTGAGATCTCTCGTGTTTCTTATCGGTGCCAATCTCTGACTCTTTGCACCGGATAGAACGTCGTATGACGCGTAATCAAGAACATTGAAATTACTCGCGAAGGTCGACTCGATATCGCGTTTATCGCAATTGTTTGCTGGAATGTTCAATGGTTTTTCTTCACCATTATTTTTTTATTTTCTTCTAATTTCTTTTAATTTTCTCGTAATTTTTTTCTTATAGTTCGATTTCCCCATAATTATTATTGTAGCTCAAAATAAAATCGCCAGGAGTATAGCTCCTTTGCTAAGGAAAGGAAAAAATCGCGCAGCGAAGAACCAAGGATCCTCGAGAGATTCGCGCAGCGCAACGACAGGGATTCCTCCTTGCTTCTACCTCGACGTCGTTCGCGGAGGATCTGTTCGGTCGTGAACTTTCTCCGGGTGTCGCATTTTTGCGTGCCAAACTCGACTTGAAACTCGCGCCCGTTCGGGTTCAACGTTCCTGAAATAGTGGGTGTGTCGTCGAGCTCTCTCGTGATCACGATGGAAACGCGGTGCGCGCAAGTTCCCGAAGAGGAGAACCTGTACCAGGTGTACAATCACGAGAAAGCGACCAGTAACCTCGTTACTCTCGGTAAATATACGTTTCCCCTGGCTGGCCGGCTTGAACAACGAGCTAGGTCCGGGGTTTGGTCTCTCCAATTTTCCTAGCTAAAATGATTTCACTGTGCAATTATAATCACACAAGTACCGCGCCCTTTTCTATCAGGGTGAATCTACGGCCAACGTCGCTCTTTCAAACAATGTCGTAATTGTTTCCTCGTGCAGATACGATAACAAAATATTTACTTCGACGTTTCCACGCCTATCACGCCCAGCTTTCTGCCTCTCATCCGTTCTCATGCGGTATTGAATGTAAATTAATTGCGGACTTTGAGTGTTGTTATGTAAATTTATCGTTTGCGCTTTTTACACGGGTTCGTTGGTACACGCGTGATCCCGTTGGCGTATAGTCTCGCGACGTTTCAGATTAAATAAATGAAACGTGTCGTGACAAATATCACGCGCGACTACCAAGGACACTCGGCGGGGATGGCGTCATCGTGAAACAATGTCGTGACACTTCCTTTTTTACATACGCCAGCTCGAAATGAAATAAGTGAGCTCGATTGATCCAATAACGACGTCAGGTCACTTTCGCTGAATATGACTCTCCATCGTGCAACGATGGATACTCGTTAGATCGATACACTCGGATTAAGACCATTATGTTAGGCTCTATTGTCGAGGATATAATTGTCTTTAAATATGATATTATTACATTTAATTACATAATATCTAATGGTCCGTTAAATATGAACAAATTAATGAGAAAGCCGAGGAAGATAGGATGTTCCCGATATCATCTTTTCTGTTTGCCTTTTATCACCGACGAGATAATACTAAGGACCGTTGATTTTATGGGATCTATTGTACAGAAAAAAATTCGCTGTTTAATAACTTTCAGCCGATAAATTCATAAATTAGTGTCAAATCAGCGTAAATGATAACTGCAGAAATGCAATTCAGCATAAATATCTGACATACTTCGTTGTAAGTCTATATAAGCGATAAAATATCGAAATAAATGTAAATTATAAAATGACCACATACTAAATACTTTCCAGGTGTTTATATCAAGTGACTAAAAATATTCGATAATGTCATCCTTTTTTCAGTAAGCCCGTTTTACTTGTATAAAAACTAACCAAGGGCCGAAGTTCTTCAATGTTACCTCGTTGAGAGAATCTCGCACGTAGCGGGTGTTTACATTACAAAAGTGAGAGCCGACATTAACGGTGCGCTAAGCTCGAGAAGCTCTCAAAATAGAGATTCTCTTCGATAAATTTAGAGGTGGAATAATAAAAGTAGTCACGTTACGCTCGACTACCTTCATCATTACGGCGACTCTCTCTCTCCGAACTCGTTGGAAAATCGATTCGATCGCATCTTTTTTGATTTACTTCGAAGGCGCGCGTAAGGTGTAAATTAATCGATCGATCATTCGTGTTTTCAGACGCGCTGCTGGCGGACTTGCAGAACACTGTGTCGTCGGAAGGAAATCACGTCGGCGGCAATGCGACACCCGGTTACGGATCGTTGAACGGTGCACGCACTCATACGACCACCGGGTATAGATCTTACGAGAGCCGAACCTCGCCACTGCCTTCGCAATCGGTATGTCGATTCTCGATCTTAATTAACGCGCTAACAGATGGGCCAACTAGCGCGACGTTAATAGCAAGGAGAAAGTAATGAAATGAGCATGAAATTTCTATTCGGGTTCGGCGAAGGTCGCTCCCGACGATAAGACTCTCGACGGAGAACATCGAGGTGGGTTTATCGACTAAGGTAGGAAATATGCCGTTGCTGAAGAGACCACTCTGTGAAGTCACACACACGGTTCGTCAGATGGAGCCAGGGTACTGGTGAAGTCGCCGCGGTAATCGTTCAAATGTTGGAGGTCGCGCTGGATCCTCGCGGTGTTTCATAAAATTCGAATCGAAACTACGGCGCGCGACTGCACAACGCGAGTGACAGAAATGCGATTAGTCACGAGAGAGAGATTCTCTCGGTGACGTATGAGATGAAGTAAACTTGCTCGATGTTATTAGAGCGGCGGCTCTGATCGTGGTTTTTATATGTGCAACTTTTTTTGGTTTCGCGATGATTTATCCGCTACTCCTTCCGTTCTTGATAGTAACGCATTTATAATTACGCGAGTCTCTTTTCGAATTATACAAAATTAACTTTTTGGCACTAACAACGTAGTACGATTCCAGTCTACAAAACGTCTCGAAATAGAGTCGATCCGACGTCGTGGCCGCGACGACGAAAGCGCGACACAAGGGTAATCCGTAAATAAACCCATTCGCCAGCGGAGTTAATAACTGTCGATACACGATGTCGGACCAGATATAACGCGGTCTCGTCGACGGCTCTCGATCGTCCGTAATCGTAGCTCGTCAGGGCCAAAAGTGCCGTTTACGTCCGTACCTATCGAGCGGAATCTAATTTCAAGATCCCGAGGCGAATCTCGCACGAATCGAAACGGAAAGTATCGAGCGAGCAATTTCAATCTCTCCGTCTGAAATCGGGGTATTTCTGCCGGAGGTGGCAGGGGAGAACGGAAGAATTATTCTCGCGTTGGTTGTTGTTTTTGAAAAATCCTCGAAAATCAAATAAAATTCACCGTTGGAAATAACTCTGACGCAACGGCGGGGGCTAAAATTAGAATCAATATCGCGTCTAAAATTGACTGTTCGTAGCATCACCACGGCGCGCACAACGTCGAACGCGTTCGCGCGCGGGCAAACAGTATAAGTCGGGAAAGAGTCTCGAGTTACTTCGTAACATTTATTTTCTCTGGGCGGAAACGCGCAGCAAGTACGTGTCTGAGTACACACGCGCGCAAAAAGTCCTGAATGATTCGCTCACGGCGTTATTAAGTTGATAAAGCGGTTTTTGTCGACGACACGACACGTGCGAATGACTCGGGAGAAATCGACTCTTAATTATTGATTCGTTCTTTCAACGGAACGAAAAATTTAATTCACACGCGTCTTCCTTGCGACATCATTTCTTTATCTCTCATCGCGTCTAGAAATAAACACCGCCGTTTATTTCTTCGGATTGTAATAAGTATCGTCGGAGAATGGTCTCGCTATTTGTTCGATGAGAAACAAATACATGATGTACGATGATAAAAAAAAAATAAACGAAACAATTCGTCTCGCGCGACGTTTACAAGCGTGCATAGATCCGTCGCGTCCTCGAACACACGTTGCGTATGTCTCGCGCGTTCGTTCCGCGAGGAACAACACCTGTTACGTTCCCTGCCGATTCTATCGATCCTCACTCGGCCTAGGACAGTGCGATCTCTATTATTCATGTTCCTCGACTCGCTGTCGACTCGGTACGCGCGCAAAATTTACGGCCGGCGAACGAACGACCAACTGCTGCGCACCGAGAGAAAAAAAGCGTTTGGTATTATCTGAGACTATAATTGTACAAGTAAAATAGTTATGGTCGGAAAAATCACATGTGTATTTTGTTACATACTAACGCGCGCAATTTCAATTGCTTGTCGGTCGATTGTATTTACCTTGTATCGATCGGTATCGTAGAAGGGCGAAAGAGAGCGTTCTCTATGTCGGGTCGACGAACCCCCTGAAAGTTCAGGTAATCGTACTACGACGGTCGAATGTGGCGTATATAGTCTCATAACTGTTTCGATTATTTTATAAACGACCCAGAATGACCTGAGCCTGTTATTTAAATTGTTGCAACTTTCGCGTTTCCTCAAACGCGCATATCATATTTTGTAATGAGATTGACAATCCTTTCTTTTTCTCTTTTCACCCTTGCGCTTGTAAAGATTTTTATGCTGCTTAATCTTTTTTTTTTCGTATTGTAGAGCTGGCTCTGACTCTGAGAAAATTCGAATCTCGTGTAGGCAGACAGGGAAAGGAACTCGCGCGTTTTTAAGAATCGATGTGACTGCTGTTCAACGACTGACGAGAACACTTGACACATTATGACGCTCGAAATTGTCGGTTGCTGTCTGCTTTGCGTTTTAATAAATTGCGGACGCGTAAATCACATCGCGCGCATTACTCTTCGTGTTGTTACGGCATCGATCTGTCGTTAGGTTTGCTGCCCGCGATCGTCAGTCTCGGATGTGGATCGTAGGGTACGGCGTGATCCAATTTCGCCCGAGACCTATTTTCGCGCCGCCGATTTGGCGAAAGTGTTATTAACGAGCTTATCACGCGAGTCAAAAAAGTACGGTTCGCTTTTCGAGTAGATCCTCAATCATATCTTTTTGTAAAGTAACAATGTGTGCATGCAAGATTACTATCGACGAACATTACAATAACGTTTACTAGAAAGACAATTATCCCGATTATAATTATTTCATCGTGCAATTATAGTCACAAGTACCAAACACTTCTCCAACGCTGTATATCACGAGCGTACCTTAATTTAAATTGCAATCCATAGTTGATCAATGAAAAAATACACGCCAATTCCGGCGGAGTAACTTTCCTTACACGCGGAAATTTCCCCGATGCTTCTTGCTTCCGATTACATTGTGCCACGGCGATGTGTCGCGACTAATAACGTTCCTCAACGTATTGCCGCCGGAGTGCCAAAAATCTTGTCGACGTGCGGCGAAGGTCGCGGCTGTTAAGCTTTCCCTTTGACGCGAATTTAGCCCGCGCGCGTGAACGATTCCAGACGCCTTGCGCTGCAGCTGCGACCCGTTGCATAAACTCCGCCGAATGTAGTAACAGCGCGGACACGTGAGCGTGGAGAATCGCGAGCCACACTTATGCAGGACGTATGCGTGCAACCAGGACGCCAAATAAGCAATTAGGAGATATCTGAAACACCGAGGAAAAAGTGTTGGGTATCTGCGATCTATGATCATATAGCGAAATAATTATGTCAGGAAAATCGTTTTTTTCTTTTGTAACGAGTGCTGCTCGTACAATGTTAGCGATATGATAACCTTATATCATATTCCTATTGCTATCTTTATTTGTTAAAACTACAAAAGAATTGTAATCGTGACAATTACTTTTCTTTCAATGTTGATGGCTCACAAATTACAGACAGGTGAGAAGCGGGTCACGAAGGTGAATCGTGACAAACCGAGTTAAATCGGTTTTATCTCAGTGAAGAATTCGTTGTCGGCAAATAATCGTGACTCGCACGGATATGATGTATTCCTTAAGGGGAAAAAAACGCCGTAAAGGCGTTCTCGCGGAAACTTCCTCGTCTTAATAGTTGTATCGCGGTCGAAATTTCCCGTGAAGCGCCGATACGTCTTGCTGACACGTTTCTGCTGGCTCGCCGCGGATATTTTTAGGCTGACAACTCAGCGTGTAACCTAGTTTCCTTTCATCCAGCAGCAGGACGCGTCATAACGCGGCTTTATTGCAACAAAAAGAAATAGTCACCGCCGGAAATTCGCCGATAAAGCGAGAATTCGTCGGTAAGATTCTCAGAAATTCGACTGCAATCTGTTAGCGCGATTCGATCACCGCCTCGACGTCAATTACGCGCCATTTATGACTCTCTTCGAGGCCTTGTAAAGTTCCCAATTTATGGTCACGGATGGCTACGACTCACGTTTGGCCATCGATAAGCCCCTGACGTCAAGTATTAAATTTAATTTTGGTAAACAAGACAGAACGCGCGACTTTCGTGTGCGAACCGTCGATTTCGCAATCGGGTCGCCTTTGATTTATTCATTAGCGTGATATACGTTTAACATACATAAATATTATTGAAAGTTATCCCACAAAGATATTATAAAAAAAAAATTGCGTCCCCGTTATGCAAATGTATTATTATCGTACATATGCGAAATTGCAGTAAGCACGATTGATATCGGTCTTATCGCCGAATTTTCGTTAATCTTGCTATCCGCGGAAGCACGACGTCTTCTGTGTATGCGTGTTTGGCGACTATAATCGCCAAATAGCCTAAAATCGATTGTTTAATTGTCTACCGATTAATATTCGGTAACACAATTTTGATCATATTTATATTTTTGGGTCATTTCAGCCCGTCGCTCAAAAGCGGTCTAAAATTGACTGTCGTAAAGGCATCCCCCCCGTCCTGAGATACGACGACGTTTCACACACGCGCCGCATAATGATTCTAGTGACATCACGGTTCTAAATAATAATGCACTCCGCGACAACTTGGCAGGCCGTCGCTTTTTGTCGATTAACAAGCCAAAAGTGCGCTTTTGGAGAGCATCACGCAGAAAATCGTTGCAGCTGTTGTTCAAGCTGTCCGCTAGCTATTCGTCCATTCATCGTGAGCGAGTCACTTAAGCATTGCATGAATTTTTTCTAGTCGCTTTCCATGTGTCTCGCTGTTCAATTTACAAAACATTCGCAATACGAAATCCCCTCTCTTCTCGTTACGATTTCATTCGCTGACTCACCGTAATGACTGTCCGGCAATCGAGACATTAATGACGTAACCAGCAATAATTATCGGGAGGGGGTCATAATGTAATTAACCATCATCGCGGGCTCTCCCGTTTGTTTGTAGCCTACTTATCAGAACCGCGAAGCGATAGAGGAGACCATCGGTAAGACCGGAAGTGCATCTTACACCCAGGCCAGCGCCGGCAGCAAGATGCCCTCCCTCAATAACAATCTTTCCGAGCTGGACACCCTTCTACAAGACCTGAGCAACGCGCGCTATAACACGCACTATCAAGAAAGAGGTCAGCCTCATTTACTTGGACTCTCTCTCTCTCTCTCTCGAGACCAGGGTTGGGGACGTTACCCACCAGCCCTGGACTGTCAACCCTCGGAGGTGGCGATTTAAACGCTCTTCTCTTTTACCGATTTCATTATAGACAGCCGCGTATCCACAAACGGGGGTGCGACTAGTCCCATGCTCCGTTCCCCGAGTAGCTTGTCAGCCTCCCGACCCACCGTCGACTCGTTGCTCGAAGAGCTAAGCACCGCCGTGCCTAACGGGTGAGCTTTCTATGTATGCGCGAGCGATATAATTAACCCCGCATAAAAATCCGTCGATCGATAAACCATTTCGGGATCGAGACCCGCGGTGATTCCGGTGAGTTTCGGGGATTTCGAAGTCGGACTGAGTCAGATTGGGCAGTTTTTTTTCTTTTTCTTTTTCTTGATAGTAGTCTGTAATACAGAGAGAGAGAGGAACTGACTCACCGCAATCCATGGGAATCTCGGTCTCGTGGTGGAGAATTGTTCGCGTTCGGTAAAACGAAGTTACCCTTCCGCGAACAGAGACTACCCCGCCGACGGAAGGGTGAAAGTCACCATACAGGAGACGTCCACGGAGATACAGCCGGTCTATGACGGTTACCCCTCCAGCCACCATGGATCGCTGAATCGAACCGAGGTTCAGAGAAGTTACCCCAACGGTCATACCGCGAGTAACGCTACCAAGGAGCTGGACGACCTAATGGCTTCGCTTTCTGAATTCAAGGTACATCATCAAAACAGTGTAACGCGATCGACCGTTGCGGAACGGCCGTTGTCAATCATATTTTGGAAAGAGTTTGCTTCCTCAAGGGCCAAGCATAACCCCTTGGCTACGCATATTGGCGACTGGTTTTCCGTTTAATATACGTACTCAAGGGGATAACATGTTAACCATTCTTCGATGCTTCTTCTTGTCGCCTCCTGCATTGTGTGCATAACCGGGTCCGAGGATAACATCAATCACAGCTATTTATACTAAAATTTTCAACATAGCGGAATATACGGGAGGAATCTATCAAACTTTCATCTCCTTTTATCATAATTGAATCCAGGAAGAACAGCATCTGGATGAAAAATAAAGCTTGTTTTTGGACGAGCCGTTTCCTGACCCCCGTTTACGCGACCGATTCCCCACGACCTCCCCCCTGAGTACAGGTTTCTCGCGTTTGGTCATTATCAGCGAACACGTACACAAGTCCTGGCCTATCCGTTCGCCCAGTCGGCTCATCCAGGCTGATTTACCGCGGAATCGGAAAACACCGAGCGTTAAATCCACACTCCTGCCCATTCTTGGCTCCCCACGTTACGAAAATAACCACCTCGCCGCCGCCGCCGAGAAAACGGAGACTACCAACAGCCACGCGACCCTCCTCCCCCTCCCCCCCGTCCCCGTCTCCTTTTCTCCTCGTCGCCCACCGATTTTCCGACGGAAGAGGAGGGATGGTCCGGAGGAACGAAGTCAGGTCGCGAGGTGGGGCACCACCACCACGACGGCGTGTGATCCACTGTAACACCCGGAGCTTTCGGCCAGTCTGCAAGCTCGCCTGTGGCGATCGACATCTCCTCACATCTCGTGGGTTTCTTTTGCATTCCTCTCATTCAGCGGAAGTATCCGCACCTTGACACCCTGACCCGTCTCTCTCTCTCTCTCTTTCACCTTGCCCGTCAAATCGTCCCGAACCTCAACCTTGACACTTTTCCATACACACATACAACCGCCACCACCACGTGCACGCGATTTCACTTTGCATTTTCGTAGAGAGGAATCGACACGACCTCGTAAAGCTTTTCAAGCTTTCGTTCCGGCTCGGACGCACCGACTGTGACCTACCGAGAAATTGGGACCTTGGACTTTCAAGCCGTGGAAATACGCGTTTCCCCCACGAACTCCGGTCGCAATTTCTCGGGGGCGAACGACAGGGGGGGTAGAACGCCCCTAGGTTTTTACGCCCGTACCCTACGGAAACGTGTCGTTGCAGATCAACAGCGGCACCCACCAGCACCAGACGGTGACTGACTCTCCATACGCAAAGCCCAACAAAGCCACCAAGAGCTCGCAGAGCCCGCTGCCGGCCGAGGGCACGCAGCAGACCCGTGTCCACATCACCGAGACCCACACGACTCACCATTATCAGCCGCAGCACGGGGAAAGCCACCACACCGCCCAGACCGTCACTCATATCAAACAGAACCAGTTGGATTCTATGCTCGGCAACCTCCAGGCCGACATGAGCCGCCAAGGAGTCAACACAACCCAGAAGGGATGCTGCAGCGCCTGCGAGAAGCCTATCGTGGGCCAGGTAGCTGATAGCTCGGGGATCGTAGCTCTACAACATCCGTCTCCCTTTCTTTCCGCTATCTCTCTCTCTTTCTCTCTCCGTCTCATCTTTTTGACTCGATAACTCTTTCACTGCCCACAGGTGATAACAGCTCTGGGCAAGACGTGGCATCCGGAACACTTCACGTGCACCCACTGCAATCAGGAGCTAGGAACGCGCAACTTCTTTGAGAGGGAGAGTCACCCTTACTGCGAGACGGACTATCACAACTTGTTCTCGCCCCGCTGCGCCTACTGCAACGGGCCGATTCTCGATGTGAGGAGACGGTTGTTCTCGAGGATTGTTTCGAGGAAAGGAATATAGGTCGTAATGGTGAATTTTTTCTCGGCGTGACTGTCCTCTTTCAGCGAGACAAACGTTGAAGGAAGTAATAAAGAGGACTGGACTTGATCCCTTGGCGTACTTTTCCTACTTAATTTTCTGTTCGTTGACAATCCTGAGACAACGTCTTTACAATGAAACGAAGAAAATGGACTCGACAGGACCTGTGTTCGAGCGTCCGCACTGTCCGGACTAGTACTCGCTGAGAAGAGATGCCGACCTATACTCGTTTTCCCGACGTATCCCATGTGTCACCGAGCTCCTAGACCGCACTTACCATCCCGCTTGTTACGCACGATTTTGCTTGCAGAAATGCGTGACCGCCCTGGAGAAGACCTGGCACACCGAGCATTTCTTCTGTGCCCAATGCGGCAAGCAGTTCGGCGAAGAGGGCTTTCACGAGCGGGACGGCAAGCCCTATTGCCGCGAGGATTACTTTGACATGTTCGCGCCCAAGTGCGGCGGCTGCAATCGGGCCATCATGGAAAACTATATATCCGCATTGAACAGTCAATGGCATCCGGATTGCTTCGTCTGCAGGGTAGGTGTCGTACTTGGCGTGACTCGTCGACTCTCATTTTTAAGTTTTACTTTCAGTTCTGCGGGAATCTTCGACGTTCCCTGTCTCATTCCCCTGCGCGTCCGAAAAATCTCTGGGGCGGGACGAGAATCGCGAAAGAACATCGCCGCTCCAGACAGAGACGCGCTCTATAAACTTGAACAATTACAGGATTGCAAGAAACCGGTCTCCGGAAAGTCCTTTTACGCGATGGAGGGCCAGCCGGTGTGCCCGAAATGCGTCGGGGTGGACGATGACGAGGAAGAGGAGGAGCAGGAGGCGTAAGGACTCTCCGGTCGATTCAGTCGCCTCGGTCTGCGCGTCGAATTTCTCGCGTCCAAAGTACCCGAATGCCTCACTACTGGTTCCCCAGTCTCCGACCCCCGCACGATGTTACTTCCCCTGTATATGCCCTCCGGCTCTATGAATGCGGAGCCACCCCAACCCCGTGACTTTCCCAGGTGACAGGTGATTTTCCAGCCGGCGCGCCGCCGAGGGAAAGACCGAATACACGAAGCCGATTGCGACGAGTAGTACGTTGTCGCATTGTTCCCGCGCATCGCAAACGCACGCCGCGAACGCACCTCACACACACGCACACTCACACACGTCTCTCTCAGGGCATACTCCTGGTAAAACAAGCTCTCTCTCGATTGTAAGCTCTTTTACGCTCCCGAGTTTACGGCCTCGACATCGCGGCCGATTTCCTGACAATGGAGCGAAATTCTGTCGATAGTCGAGCCGTGCGGATGTTGATTAGTACTGTATGTAAAGTAAAGAAATAAACCTCCCACCCCCAATCAAAAAAAAAAAAAGAAATGAATAAACCCCCAAAACAAGAAAACACACATGACACGGAGTCGGCTGTCGCACGCGCAGATACGCCGCCTCTTCTCTCGCGCACGTGCGTCTCGCGCGGCAACAAGTGCGACAAAGGGCCGAGCCGAATGCGACGAACGGCAACGTCATCGTCGTAAATGAATGTTTACATTTCTTAGGTCGTTATAGCGACGACGGGTGAAGCGGATTGGCAAAGTCGACGAGTCACCATCCGGAAAAAACAATATAATGATCACATGTGAAAGTAATTTTACTTCTTCCGTCGGCAATGGCAGCACATTGAGCCAATTGTGAGGCGAGGCGGGAATCTAAGTGCGCACATATATATATGATAAAAAAGTGTGCTTATATTCATATGGGGTGTTCAAAGAAATTATATATTAATGTGTTGTCTTCTACGTGTGTGACTTTTTCTACGTTTAATATTCCACAGTTATGGGAAAAATTAAGGCATAATTATTTCGTATTGAACATTCGGTTGACTTAAATTCTCGAGGGGAAAGTACAACGTATTATCTCCTTGATTAAGACTAGTATGTCATATTCCATTTCTGAGAAATTTAATTATCCAAGTTGGAAGTTATTATTTAATTATCAAAGCTAAAAGCACTTGATTGTATTTGTTGTATACTCGTGCACATACATTAGTATATATTTCTTTGAAGACTTTTTTGATGTTCATATACAACTGCAACATATATTTTCCCAGCATATTTTATGTTTATATATTCATTTTTGCAATCCTCAAATATAGGCAGGATATTTTTTTCTATATGAAATTTGATAGAACTCCGACGCCGTTGAAAATAATTTCATCGTACGTAAAAGTTGCTCATATAATTTGCCTGAATGCATCGCATTATTTTTTTTTTACAGGATTGCAGGCAGAAATTCCAAGGAGGTTCCTTCTTTGATCACGAGGGATTGCCGTATTGTGAGACGCACTACCACGCTAAGAGGGGATCCTTGTGCGCAGGATGCCATAAACCCATCACTGGTGAGTGTGATTCCCTTCAAATTCCAAACCCTCAGGTGATATGTTCTTTCTTCATGTTTAGGTCGCTGTATAACGGCCATGTTCCGCAAATTCCATCCTGAGCACTTCGTGTGCGCGTTTTGTTTGAAGCAACTGAACAAGGGTACCTTCAAGGAACAAAACGACAAACCGTACTGCCATGGTTGCTTCGACAAGCTTTTCGGATAAATATGAAATATGCCGATGTACACCGATTATACTTTGTAACATAAGAATGGAGAGCGGAAGACTGTTATTTCGCTCTCGGTGTCGCAATTTTGCTAGTTTTGACGGAATATGTATACGGTATACTTGCTTTGACTGTCTATATACAAACGCGAGACGTGACTCGCTCGTTGAGACTCCGTCACGGCCTTTTAGAGAATTTCCATTCTTTTTTTATATTAATGAAAATATTGACTCGTGAATAGTGCTGTTGCAGAGAAAAATTCTGCATGGAATTTCAAGTGTTAACGACCACTGTGACAGGACTGGAAATTATACAGGATGTCCCGTTACTATCGCCATTTTTAACGAGATTTTTTAACAACTTTCGAATCTTTTTTTTATAATGAATAGATACGATGGAACACTCTGTATAATCTTTATAATATGCCGAGGGTCTTTGTAATAACCTTACGTAGTAAATCGTGTTTCTTAAAAATGAGCTTAATTCGAGCTCATCATGCCGTTTAAGAATTAACGAAAAGGGTGCTATATAGTAGTTTATCGTTACTAATAACGTGTATATCTACAGTATATATATACACACACACACATATATATATATATAAGTAGACACACACATATATACGCGATGTAATCGTTCAAGCAAATATTTCTACAACTGACGACATTAGCCTCCAAATATCTCGGATGAAAGCTTTTTCTTTCCGCGCGTGCGTTAGATATTTCATATATTTATAAAAATATTTATATAGAATCGAGCGCGCGAAGCGGCCTGGGATTTAACTGACTTTCACCGCACAAGTAACATTACAAGTTTATACATACGTCCGATCTGTCGAATGCATCGAATTATGTAATGCCTTGTGAAAGGGAACGCGAACCGGATAAATGACGAAGGATGTACGGGATTAAATGGATCAATGTGTTAAGCGGCGCTTCGGTGCAAAATTGGGTAGATATCAAGCGAAAGATAAGCCATTCGTCTGTTTATTTGGCATTTTGTTACATAACAAAGATCAGCTCACCAACTTCACGTATACACACATATTAATAAGACATTTTTGAAGTATAATTTAATCGTGGGTGTGTGTACAAGGGATATTCACCGGCCAGAAAAGGAACGGAAAACTATGTATTATATATATATATATCTGCCTTATAGTTCCCGATCGTGACGGGTAAATTCATACATATGTATATATATGTATGTTAAAGGAAATTCACGCATTCGTAGGTATATACAAAAATATATAGAATCTTACAATAAAATTACACAAATTGCCAATTGTTATTTTTCGTATTGGGAGCAGCACGACATGTCATCATACACGGACACCGATAGTATATGCTATAGTTTGTGCTACCAGACTACTTCCCGACATTGATAGGAAGAAAACGGAAAAAAAGTGATGCAATAATTTCACGTTCCGAATTTCACCTATAATCGTTACATAGTTAGGACTAAAAGCATCTCTCGAATGAATCATTTTTTTAATAACATGACGCCACTGTAAACAGGTAATAAGTTGTTTTGAACGAAATGACCAACATTTTGCGAAGTAATAATATATAACGAAAATATCTTCCTATCAATATGCATACTCGCGATATCTACATAATTGTCTAACTTGTGTCGAACGAAGAACAATGAATTGTAAAAAAAAAAAACTTTTCCCGCTTCTTTTTTTAATAATTTTTCGCCTTTGAAAGAATCTAATTGAACGTGTGCACGGTGCATCAACTACGCGGCGGCTGTACGCTACTTTCCGCGCTATGGAATCCTCCGCTCTTATCACAGACGCAACGATCCGGCGGTATCGGCTGCGTGTTCCTACGCGTGATTCGTCGCCTTCGCGAGAATTGTCAGGCAAGCGCGGGAAATAGCTCTCTGAAGTTCTCATGCCAAAGGTCGTTGATGTGAGAGTAACGGCAATGCGAGTCCACGGACGGGGAGTCGTGCGACTCGTAGCCGCAGTCCATGCTACTCGGGCTGTCGACTTGCGCGACGACGCAGGAGTCCGTGTCCGAGTTGGTGCTCGCGGGCGACATGGTGTCGGTGCGACATGTGTACGCCGGAGAGAACTGCGCGGAGTAACCGTGAAGTGGTGGTGGCGGTGGCGGCGGCGGCGGCGGCGTGAGATACCTGACGTCGGTGGCAACGTCGACGGCGACGCCGTCGTCCGTGCTAACCTCTTGCACACACTCCTGAATGCCAATGTCGGCGCTCTCCTCGCCCGGATAGATGATCGTGATCGAATTCGTTGCCTCGTCGTACGTACCGTAGAAGGTAGTCTCCAAGTCATGCGCTGGTTCGGACTCCTGTTTGATCTCGACCTCGGTCTTGATCGCCAACGGTGGGGTCGTCGTCGGGCCGACCGTCACGACGCGCTGCGCATTGCTTCTTTCTGGTCGTGCAGCACCGCAGACCACGGGATGACAATTTGACGAACTGGTTAGGTCTGCGGTTAGGTAGGATTCAACACCTACGCCTCCACCGGCTCGATTGGCTTCCACATTTTCTGATGTCTGCCCCACCACTGCCTCTGGATGGCCAGGTTCTTTAACGGAATCGTCCTTGACGGACACCTGAGCAGAACGTGGTTAACGGGTCATTAAGGTGGGAACGACTGAATCGTGCGAAGATGCGGGATTGCGCGGGAAATGAATGAAACGTTCGGACCTTATGCAATGATTATGTATATCATCATCCTCATCCGTTTGATTTGTATTCGCGCATCTAGTCGAGAACGGAAAATTCCGTCCCGCTTTGGGATGTTTCATTCATTTCTGTATTACGTCCGAATCACGTGACCGTAAAAGTGTTACTTGGAAAGAGCAAGGTGCAAGGTGATCACGATGTTATCTGAACTCGCGTAAACTCCCGGTACTCACTTGTTCATTTGATTTATCAGGAGCTGCTTGCACTTCAAGATTAACCTCTCGCAGTAGACTCTCCGCGAGTTCCTCGAGTCGCTCGATGTAATCGTCGTCGTCTTGGAGGTCACCGCAAAGTTCTTCGAGAGGAGGTAAAGGGTCAGGATCTTCAATAGAGCAACTGTTCCTGGTGTTGGCGTCAGGCGTGATGCCGACTGCGTTGTCCCACCCTGCGGCAGAGGGTCATTGGGGGATACTGCAGATCCCAGTGAGGGTACAACGCAGTGGACACGAGCCTGGCACAACGTGCAGTATCGCTCCTCTCTGTTCTTAGCGTCCAGCTCTTTCCTCAATCTTTTCGTTTCGTTCAATAGCGATTCGTTCTGTGACCTCAGCATTACGCACTCCTGCGTGAGAGTTCTTACTGTCAACTCCAGCTCGTCCAGTTTGGCTTTCTTGCGATCTCGCGAGGTTTGAGCTGCCACTCTGTTCTTCATTTTCCTGCCGGACGGAAAAATGGTTAGAAAATATTTATTATTTCATCTACATCGTTGTTTTCATCAAGTATTTATTACTTCGAAATTTATTATGTTTTAATATTTTTAAATAGAAAATTCTACGTTTCTATGATGTTGCGTTATGCAAACGAATTGCGTTATACGTTGCTACGTAAAACGTAATATCGTTTGCATGACGCAACATCATTTTTCAAACGCAATATCGTTCATCTGTTACTTTGACGACTCGTTTTTTTTTATCGAAATATATGTTCGGCATGTGTTTTTAGTTTGCGATAAGGAAAAGGACGCAACACCGCCGCCGTGGAATCATCAATCGCGAGATCTACTCAACAATATTAGTCTCTCGCTGCCTGGAATGACTCATCATTTTCATCATCAAATTGATTTCGTCATACACTCGGAAGTAGGAAGGTTTTCAACACTTTCTTCAATTTTTATAAATATAAATTTTTCCGAGAAAATTTCTGCTTCCGCAAATTGGTTATTACGAAATCGTCCGTTCTATCATGTTAGAGAACACAATAACAAGATAAGACTACCCAAACGGCTGTGTAAAGAGAACACACACATTAATGTTAAGTCGCATGCAATTAGCGCTAAAAATATGACTGTTTGATCTTCATCGAAAGCGATTATCTTCCCGAATAAACAAAACTCTACGATGGGCCGCACCGGTTATCAACAAGTGCCGATAACGATAACTAAAGGAGGCTGATGTAATTCAACACGCAGTAATCGGCAAAAAACTGGAATTTCCAGTTTTTATATGTGACCATCGTGGTTCTAACAGAACTCTATGAAGGGATTGAGTAAATGTTTTGCGCAATTTCGCAAATCATTTAACTCGCGTCAGTTGAACTGTTTTAAAGACCGCCTCAGACTAGTGGCGAAGATCGATGTTAAATTCGTTTTTGGACGCTTTCGTGTCGTTCCGTCACTTTTCAACATGCGATGAAGAATCAAGATAGAATGTACGAAAGCGTTATTCTATTTTTACATTTCCTCATTACATGCTAAAGGAAGATGGAACGAGATGTTCTCAGTACGAAAGCGTGCAAGGCGAATTTAACTCGGATATCGCCGGCTGAAAATAAAAATCTAACCGATTAGACGAGGAATCGAAATAGAACGATCTCGAGAATGTTGATCTGCAAATCCTCGATTTTCAATCGACCCAATCTGACAGCAGGGTTCGACCAGGGTGAACTCACTTTCTTTGTAGCTTCTCTTCCCATGTCAGATGATCCAGCCGACGTCGTTTGCTGCGCGAATTCGCGTCCGCGGGCTTGAAGAGCACCGCCGATGCATCGTCATCGTTGACGTTCTCCTGCCTGGGTGCCAGCTTCCTGGCGTCCATCTTCGCCTTGTTCAGCAAGATCGACGCGATGACACTCTGTTTGGACAGTGCGCCGCGCGTTATTCGGTTCCGCAGGAATTCCTTGCGCGATCCTTTAGGCAAGGCGAGGATCAATGAGTTCTTCGCGCAGCTCATAATCCGCCATGCGACGCAGCACGATGATCTACCTGCGCCTCCGCGAACGTTTCTCGATTATCGCACCACACCGATCACGTCTCTCTCTCTTCCTCTTCACCCGCGTACTTATCGACGTTCACCGTCATCAGCAACTGACGAGTCGCGCTTGTAACCAGGACGCTCGGAACGGTACACCCCCACCGTCTCGATGTTCCGGGCTCTGCTGCTGCGCACTAGCGTCTAACAGCGTCGACTATTTCCGTTCTACATGAACGTGGTGCGTCGCGATTGGCTGGCCGTGGCGTACGCAAACGCGCGGCTACCATCGATCACGTTCAACTCGGGCTGCAGCTTCGCGAGTGCCACTTTCCCAAGCACGATTCTTAGCGCTACCCGACAGAGTTTACGAACTTCTCCAGCGTGGTTCAATAAACGCTCTCGTCATTCCCTCCCGGGATACCGAAGGTACACTCGATGAGTCACATGACGCGTAATGAGCCTGTTTCTCTTCTGACGAAAGTCACCGCGAGTATTGCGGAGCGAGGATTGCGCGTTGGAGGTTGGAATTCGACGAATTGACTGATTCAGGGAGATTTCTCGGCCCGTTCCGTCTCGCAATTCACGATCCTCGGTTTCAGTATTTAACCTAACACGACACGGGTTCAACTCGCGAGGTTGACTTCAATCGAACGCGGCCATTCGTCGATTCATCGCAGCGATTCGCGCGGTAAAGCGTGTGCGTCATTTCAAATTGTCGAATATCCACACGGGAAAGCGTCTTTGTGCAAAACGAAACTAAACGCATCGATAAGTAAGACTGGCCGGCAGAACATTTATTATTTTACAACTTTTTAAAGTTTTCTGAACTGAGATTAGATCACTTCATTAGATCTACAGAAATAATGTAATCTCTCAGAAAATTTCCATCAACAGTTGTGAGAAAAACATTCTACTGAACGTAGCCAATGACATGTCGAAAAGAAGGACGATATCATCGCGATGAAATGTATCGATCTTCCTTATCGATATTTTCAGTTTAGTTTCCAACATGGACGCTTTCCTATCGGAGTCGTCGGTCACTTCGGCGTCCCTTTGAATAGCCGATTTTCACAGTTTAAAGATCTCCTCTCAATCTTCGTTACGTTTTCTCAGAAAATGCTCTGTAGAATCGTTCCGATGAAGACGAAACAAAGGTCGTCGGCTGATAATGCGAGGGCAGAGGTCAGATTGCCGGGCATGTCGTAACGGCACCATTGTCCATGAGGAAAACAGGTATCAGAGTTTGATTGCTTAGATTCTTCCGCGGAAAACAACGAGATTTCTTGGCCGAGAGAAATCTTTAGATATCCCTTATCGTGTGTTTTTTTTTTTCGTCGGCACAGGCGACTATGAGTTTCCGGGAAGGAAGCATTTATCGCGTCGTTATCTCGCTCGCGCGCTTTACGTCCGACGTATCGGAGACGATTCATTTTCCCGCAAGCGTAAAAACGAGGTTTCCGACGATCTTTTTGCTTGCACATGAGCTATATTCCAAGCACGAAACGCCGCTGTCCGAATACCGATACGGATTCGATATGTCCGAAAGCGGATTTCCGCGCGTTTCTGCAACAACCGCCGATGCATTTGAAATCGCATCGTATAGTGCTGCTCTCTTTCGCGGAATGCGCGAGGAAGTGCACGAGTGGGTAACAAGCGGCAGTTATCCGTCGAGGAGTAACGTCGATAAAGCAGATCTCGCGTATTTAAATTTTCGAAAAATCGCTCGCGAATTTCACGAGCGTTTCTTCATTCGTAAATGAACGTCCGATGGATTCTATCGATTCGTGGCTGGCTTTTGAAAAATCCTGGAAAATCTTTTGCGAACTCGTGCGAACTCTATCACGCGCGAGAAAATTAGCGAGTACAATTTCATAATTATGAGTCAATCGATGCTTTAATTAAACGATATATATGATGTTGCAATAACGCTGGGAACAAGATCAGCGCGAAAAAATGTGCAGTTTCATCTCAGCTGTCGCGTGTGTTGCCAACGTGAAAACAGCGTTCCACCCTGCAACGCACGTAGCTCCGGTTCCGTCATTGGAATCTCCTTAAACTTATATTATGCTTTCTCTCAGATACATTATCGTCCATTCTGTCTTTCCCCGTGACTCATTGAGAAATGTTAAAGTTCGTCATACGAAAAATACACGATTAAAAGTGTTCGATGTCGCCTTTAAATCTCTTCTTGAAAAAGCAGCCTTAACGATCAAAGAACAACTTCCCATTGGAATTCCACTAGGCGTTCCCTAATACTGAGAGGTCCCGTTAAATGCCCATGAAAACGCGTTCTCTGGTCTAAAGCTGTCAAGTCCTTCGCAAGGATATCGTGGGCGAACGACGACGACAGCAGGCCAAATCTTCGCGGCCGATTCACGCGAGACTCTTCTTTCGTGATGCCGTTGGCTCGCTCATGTTATTTATGTCGAGATTTATCGTCTCTCGAACGAAATTTTCACACTACACGTGAATTCAATTAAGAAAAAAGCGCGTGCTGCGCGAGCATAGTGGAAAGAAGGTTGCAATAATCTTTTTTCCGTTAGTTTTACAACGCACCCGAATCTGAATAAGAGAGTTTGCTTTTTTTACGAATTCAGAAGATATATTTTCCTGTTGGATACCAGATTGCATTCTTAAGTTCATCGCGACCTTTCTTCCGCTGACTGTACTTTTCCATTACGCATATCGCTCAACACGTGTCGCGATCGGATTTTCGTGGAGACAAAAACAAGGACGCGAGGAAAATTCCTCTCTTTTCTAACAGCCGCTCGGGGAACACGACATTCGCGAGAAAATCCGCGTGCTTTTCTGGGCTAGACTATATGTATGTATTATACATACACACACACTTATATATATATATATATATGTATATATATATATATATGTATATATATATATATATGTGTGTATGTGTGTGTGTGTATGACAGTGTCGCGCAAGGTCAGTGGTAAACGCGAAAGTCAATGTCAAAGGTGAGCAACGTTGACGATCGGTAGAGAAAAACCGCCGATTACCGGCGGACCTCGCACCTCGTCGCATCAGGATGCCATTTGACGACGCCTTACGCAATGCTGACGCGGCAGCATACGCACACGCGGACTCGTTCTTCTCTCTCTTTCTCTCTCTCGTCAGCGGGGATTTTTTGCCGGGGTGCCAGGCGAATATGACATAATGCATCCGGACGCAACGACTCGCGAAAGTAGTATCATGTGTTAGTTTCTCCCGCTTTTTTTTTTCATTTTGATATTTATGCACGACGAATTATCATGTCTGTATTGGACCGAGAATAGCCGGTCCAATGAAAAAAAATTTTCTTGACAACGTATCGATAAAACGAGAACGGTTTTATTCTGATCGAACGAGCGAAGTCGTGCGAGATTCGCGACAATTCGCGATTTCTAACGAACTATTAAAAAACAATGTGGAGTAGCTCCCGTTGTGATCATCTCGCAGCCGACTGTCGTCGTCGTCTTCGTAGCTCGCATCTCGGTAGCACCTTTTATGCGTGCCACCGCACTTACGTCGAATCAACGCAATGACGCGCGCGCTGACGTATACGCATCGTGTAGATCGTCGTGTCGCAGAAGCTCCAAGACCTTAATCTTAACGACCGAATCTCCGCACAACGACCGTGGTGCCGGCGATTTTTCCACACCGACCGCAGCCTCGGATTATCGGCGGAATACCGGCGGTAAACTGCAATCCGGGGAATGAAACCGTTCGAACGGACTTCCTGCGGAGCTTCTCCCGCGGAGAGCTCAAAGGTTAACACTAACTGCAACGAACAACAGTCTGTCTACTCGTCGTTATGACCTCGCGGTGAAAAACCAAATGGCATCGGAGAATTTGTCATTGAAATTAAGGTCGAGGTTACCGACACACTTTGTATTTATAACTCGCTCTCGGTCAACGATATTAACATAAGTCATCTAACGACGACTCGCGGGGCCCTCGAGGACTCTCTCGTTAGCACGTCGTTCGCGAGAGGACGAGTTCCAAGAGGAACTGAGAGGCTAGAATCTAATCAGAACCCGTTCGATCGAAGCAACGAGACTCGATCGTTAGAATAGACCCGAACGACGATGGACCCCCGTCGATGAAGAGAGCGAAAAAAAAAAGAAAACACGCTCGTCGACCTTTTTCGGTGCTGCTCGGTTCCGGCGAAATTCGAACAGATTCGGACTCGTGAATAGCGCATAACATATTCGATCCCCCCCGGCTAAAAAGGGACAACCGCGGGATACCCTGTATAATAACGTCTCCTCTCGCCCTCTCTCTCTCTCTCTTTCGGCCGTTTTCGAGTCACAGGAGTGACATTGGCTGTTCTCGTATTGATTTATATGCCCTCCGCTGCATGCAGCCCCGGCCGGTGAGCGACGGCCACCTCGCCTTGCACTTGAAGATGCAATCGAACGATGCCTTCTTTCGTTTAAGGAGAGAGAGACGATCGATGGTGTCGTGGCGGAGAGCACGCGCACGTGCTGCGCATCGCATCACCCGGTCCATATACCGACCTCCTCCCGATCCGCAGGGGCCGATTCCGAATTCGTCGCTCCCCCGGCTCCTCCGCGTCGACAGCCGCGCACGGAAAAGGTAAGGGAAATTTATGACATCTTTCTTTTATTGAATCAACGAGCCGTCGCATTTTTGACTCGATGCACTCGGATGTCACGCCGAGAGAGGCGTGTATTATTATATTAACATCGCCAATCAACGGAATATAATGGCGTATTCGCGACGCGCTCGACGTGAATCGCTCGATGGAATTAATTAAAGTGGATTCTTATGAAATCGCGGCTTGATCGAGGACGTATCTGACATGCGTATGCGTACACGTGCATCCAAAATACGTTTTTTTCACATTTGTTCCGCGCAGTCGATACATCATTGTAAACGTTTCTCGGTATTTTCTCTCCCTCACAGTGGCCTCATAAATTCCGGAATTCCGCGTCTTCGGCGAATTGCCGCACGATTTTGCGTCAACAGACACTTTATCAGAGCGACTCGCGCGGTTTGCGTCTGAGATATTATTTTTCTCAGTATAGATCGCCGAGATATTCTGCAAAATGCGTGCAGTAAATTTCCGCGGAGAACTGCCAGCGGCGGCGTGCGCCACGTTGCGTTTCCGCGAGGAAACGGCTC